ATCTCTACACCAGTATCATCTTCAAATCACCCAAGACCGCTGATCCAAACAGCTGAGGGATCCTAAGAACCCACGTTTCTTCAGAGGTTCCATGCGTTGGGTTTTGGTTGCTTCGGACATTCTGGGCTCCACTGCTCTGCGAAAAGTGCCCACTCCACTGAAATTGTTCGTCTACATCAACACGGTGATGGATTTGGCTGGAGCAAAGCATTCAAAGCACAGTTGGGCGGGTGAAGATTTTTGGGCGGGTGATTCTGCTGAACCTTTCTTCACCCACTTTGTGATTCACAGTCACCGGCTAAAAGATGTTGACGCTAGTTCTTGACAAAACAATGTCAGTTTTGGTGATGGTAACAGTTATAAATCGTACAGTTGATTATGTTCTGTCCCACCCGGACGTTGCCCCACACTTACAGTCATCGTCGTCATCATCATCATCATCACCATCATCATCATCATCGTCATCATCATCATCATCATCATCGCCAGTGTCAACTCATGTGCAATGGGGTCATACCACCAACTTAAATATACTTAAATGTCTATGTCCATAAGGGATCAAAAGTCCACCACCCCCAATATGTTGAATGTGGTAATCACATCAATTTATCTTCAAAAGGGATCAAGCATCCACCACACCCTCTGACAAATATGTTAAATGGGGTAATCACATCCAGAAATCTTCGTAAGAGATCCGCCACCCCCTCTGACAAAGGATCCGGCAATGTGGACCGAAATCTGTTTGGAGCATGTCTCCGCACAATATATATGTATAGTGTATATAAATATATTTACATATAATTTATGAAATATATATATATATATACATGATTATATAATTATATATATATATTTATTTATTTAATCAAACAGTATAAGCATATATATATATATATATCAGTTATATATCGTTATAGATTATATGCATTCGAACACGGTCCAAGTCCCTGTGGAGCTGCACAGGATTGAAGCCGCCAGCAGTTCCATGAAGGAGAAGAGAACCACGGTGAGGTCCAACCGGTTCCTGGGCTCTCGGTCGGCTATCAAGTGGGAATCTATATACTAGCTGGGTGGTCGAGCCCTACCCCGCTGGAAAATAGGACGGTGGTTTTGGGATGATTATTCCAGGTACTTCAATTCATTCTACCTCGGGAAAGGTTCTTTTCTCCCTGGCCCGCCCTGGCCATTTCAACATACGGGATCCATCTCATTTAAACACACATTAAATGCAATCGCTTTACCAGGGGTGGAGACATTCAGGCAAACATGGGGGTACCATTGTTTTTCCTTTATGAGCAGATAGATAAATCGGGTTGTATATGGCATGTCTGATTGAGGCATTTTACAGACATTCATTACTCACCCCTCTTACATCACCGTGGGCATCCAGTCATCCAGCTGGCCGCATGCGGAAGATAAAATTCGCCCTCTTATCAGAACAGTTTGTTGCAAGGGATGAACAACATGGATTTTCTCTTCGTGGGGTAAATCCCATACTCGCCAGAACATCCGTCTTTTTTCCGCCGTCTTCTGCCGTTTGCGCCTATCGCCCCCCTCCCACCGGACGGCTTTGTGCTCGTCCGGTGGGAGGGGGGCCTGTGCGGCGACTTCTGTGCTCTGCTTGCCGCTCTCCTGTTCCTGCGGCGGGGCGTTTTGGCAGGGCGACGTGGTCGATCGATTTTCTTTTGGAAAAAAAATCCGGCGTCCGATATCATTACAAGATGTTTATATGCGTGCATTCATGTAAGGACACATTGTCATTCTCTTACCGCTCTCTCTCTCTCTCTATCTTCATCATCTGTAGATCGGTGTGTAGTAGAATAATATCGCACACCTTCTCTGGGATTGTATGGCGATGGGGGCTCCGTGGATGGGAATTGGGGACGTCGCAATCTTTAGCGAAGTGGAATGGTCACTACATCCTTCGATTTATATCATGGTGTACAGTCAGTGTTTTCGGGGTGTCCAGGGGATGTAAAGACCGGGCTTTTAATACGTACAACGGGTCTTGCCAAATAGGACTTTCGAATGCCAAGTCTTGAAGTTGCATATCGATGCCTATAGTCTTAATGGTTTGATTTGAAGCATCGTTGCATGGAAGATAGAAAGTCGCCCTTCGCGAAAAGTGATATATAGTAAATGAGTCTTCCTTCCCCCCCCTTTTTGGACTTCAGTCCCATTCCCCGGCCTCAGCCCACTTGGTTCACCTGAAGGTCTCGGATGTGTACTTGGTTGAGAAGGGCCCGGATGTGTCGTTGCACATTCCGGACCCACCTCCTCCTGCCGCTGATCCGCCTTTGGCGGAAGCGGCGCGCCAGGGAATGAGGCAACGCCGCTTTCACGATATTGACAATGCACAAAGCCAAATACACAGAGTGAGCTTGAAACAAATGGACCAAAAAACGTTGGCTCAAGGCTCAAGGTGATGTTCATTCCATGTGCTTTAATGCTTTAATTTTTTTTCCCTCCCTCGCAGATCTTTACTCGATCAGTTATAGTTCCAGCGCTAATTCGGTATACCATTCGATTGAATAACACAAACTTAAATTCACAAGGGATCAAAAAGCCACCACCCCCTCTGACAAATATGCTGAATCTGAAAATAACATCAACGTATCTTCATAAGGGCTCAAAAAATCCACCACCCCCTATGACAAATATGCTAAATCTGATAATAGCGCCAACTTATCTTCACAAGGGATGATGATGGTGGTGATGACGATGATGATGATGATGATGACGATGATGATGATGACGACGACGACGATGACGATGACGACGACAATGCTGATGATGACGACGACGACGATGACAATGACGACGACGACGACGACGACGACGACGACGATGATGATGATGACGATAATGATGATATTGATGGTTCACATGTACATCTATATATCGAAAGTCCACCGGCATGGCATATCAAAAATACGCAGCCCTTCCGCAATTCCGGCGCGGAGCAACGTCCGGGTTGCAGCGATTATGTTAGTTCAGATTCAACTTGAGAAATTGGTGTTCTTTGCATGTCCTCAATGAACCCATGAGTTTCTGCACGGGGTCGGCCGCACCAGGATCCAACGCATCGCGAACCCGCCAACTATTGGACCCCGATGATGTTTCCATGTTCCCTACTTTGTTCCTGGTTAAATCATCTGTTTAATTTAAGGGTGAATTTTCCACGGTCAAACACATCGATAATCATCCATCAACCATGATCTAAAATCATGTTTTGATCAGTTACAAGGTGGGGCTGTGGAGATATAGACTTATTATGACTTATTGGCTTATAGTATCTTATAGTTACTGGATGCTGGAATTTAAAAACCAACCATAAGCCAAGTTATAACTAGAAACTATTGAAAATTGCCATTGATAGTTAGTTTACCAGAGGGTAACCAACATTGGTGTCACAACCGTTGCATCCCCGCCGTCCTGGCACCGTCACCGCCTCCACGGTCTCCCCCGTCACCGCCGCCGCGACTTCCGTCGCTTCCCTTTCCACGGCGCCCAACAGCTGGGCACAGCGGTGCCACTGGGAGGAGCCAAGGGCGCTGGACAAAGGCCTGGTTGAAGCTGGGAAGATCCATAAGCACAAAATGAGGTCCCATGAATTGATAGTAATAATGGGAATTATACTTCAATAATTTTCAATATAGTCATTGGATCCAACTTTGCTTAATATCATCCCATTAAAATACAATCCCATTAAATCATAATTTAGTTCTTAGTGAAATTAAATTAAAATCCCATTAAACCACAATCTTTGTTGCTAAATTCCCCTGTGGAATCATATGGGATCCGCATGGGTTTTTCCAAAGGTATAACTATTGAAGACCAAATTATATAACCCAGGGTATGTATATATATATATATAACTATATAACCATAAACAATCATCAATAACCATGAATAGGTAGTTTTAATCAACATCAATTCTCCAAACTATCAAAATCCATGGTTATTAGCAAACTTACACTCAGAATGAATAGGGTTATTAACCTTCAGTAACCATTGGTAACCATTACTAGCCAATATTAGATGTTGACCTTATATCTACAACTATTGACATTCCAATAACCTTTAGGAATTAGTAACCATTGATGGCCAATATTAACATTTCGTAACCATTCATAGCCAATACTTACATTAACAATGAAAAGGCTAATTAACCTTTTAGTAGCATATGTTAATAAAATAATAGCAAATATTGACCTTTTAGCCAACATTACTCTATTGTAATTAAACTTCAGTAACGTACAGTATCAACCTTTAGTAACATGACATGAGCCTTATTAAAAACCATTAATGCCAATAATGTTGTAAATAACCCTGTTAACATTTAAGATTAACAATCAAAATACTAAGGCCAATAAACATGTGGTAACCATGAGTAGCCAATAGTCAGAATGAATAGCAAATAACCAATATATTCATAAACCATCCCAATATATTCATAAACGATCCCCAATTTCACCATAAATAGATGGTATAAACCATTCCCAAATCAGTGGTCTATGGCATTGTTTTACCCACATTAGTGATTAATAGGGTCTAATAGGGTTATTAACCTTTAGTAACATATTAATTTTAAATAGCCAACATCAACCTTTTAGCCGATATTACCATTTTGATATTCACCTCCAGTAACATATTAACCTGTAGCAACATATTAATAGTAAATATCCAATATGAAAAATCCATTAATCAATATCATTTTATGAATAATCATAACCTAATAGTTCATAGTATATAGCCTGTGGAAAAAACACATATAGTAAATAACTACCAAACAAAATCCTAGTTAATAGTTAGTAGTTATTAGTAAATATCCAATAGAAAAACTAAATATAACCTAATAGTTAGCAGGGTTTCAAAGGCTTTCACAATAGAGCCCGTCTTGGACTGGCCTGCGCATACGCATACATAAACGGCTTCAAATACGCAAACAAAACGCATATTCCCGACATATCCAGAATTTGCGGCTATTAGTTGTTTTCTTTATGTTTTGTTTGCGTTTCTTTTACGTAAGCGATAAAATAAGGCCTTATTTGCCCAAAATAAGGTCTTATTTTTCTCCCGACATAAATAAAACATAAACCATATACACATGTACATACACAAACGTTACAAAATGTGTTTGCGTTCTCGTTTGCGTTTTGTTTATGTTCTCTTTACGTGCGTTCCAAAATAAGGCCTTATTTTGCGTGATTTGCACAAAATAAGGTCTTATTTTTCCTCCGACATAAAGAAACACATAAATTCACAAACGTATACATAAGTAAAACATAAACACAACGCAATCCAGTCCCAAAATACGTTAATATGTCACATGTATTTCGCATATGTTTCACATATATTTCACATACGGCTCACATATGTTTTCACTTGCGCTGCACATACGCTTCACATACGCATCACATATGTTCCACCAACGTAAAAATTTATGTTTCATATGAATTTTACATATGTTTTGCATGCGCGGCCACTTAGGATATGTATACGTGCCCCCTCGTCAGCTCCTATAGACAGAAGCCCTGGAGGCTTTTGGGATTCAGCTAACCTAATAGTTATATAATAGTGGTTGCCAAAAAAAATCCTAGTTCGCCACGTCACAGGTGCACCGCGAAGCGATCCACCAGCGCCGGGTCCAAGAGCTCCGTGGCATTGGCCGTGGCCACTGCGCTGCGCAGCGCCGTGTCCTGGCGGTGGCAATGGAGATGGTGGGGAAAAAACTGGGAAAAATGTGGAAACCACGGGGACTTAAGTGGAATTAAGTGGAGTTGAGTGGATTTAGGCGGATTTAAGATGATTTAAGTGGAAAATAATCTGATTTGACTTGCTCTAATCGACTTGGAATGGATTGAAATGGAGAAACAACTGGGTTTAACCAACAAACATGAATCAATACAATCAGCAACATATCGAACTTACGGAATATCTTTGCAATCAAGACACGTTGTTTATTCTGAGCGTCATTCATACTTGGCGGGAACAAATCGTCCTCTTGGGAACCAAAACATGGAGCCGGGCTGATATACACACGAGCTTTGCCATCATCTACCCACAAACGATGCAACAAATCGGGGGCTACCTATGTGGCGGTGCAGTTCCAGTTCCAAGGGGACATACAGCCATGATTCCTGTATATCATGGAATTGGAGGTTATCACTATGCTGTACTACCTATTTAAACCCCGAACTGCACCACCAAGCACCAGATCACACTGTTTCTTGTTGAAAAACTCCGCAAAAAAAATAATTTGGCGAATTGCCTCTCTTTTAATCATGTGCATCTGCTCAAAATGTGGTACCATTAATATTGCATGGTTCAAACCCTCAAATGTCTTGCCAAATGACCATTCAAATGCGGTCCCCTGGGCCCTAAAGTCCGAATCGTCCTGTCGTGTCAGGGCGCCCAGCAGCGAAGACAAAGCTTCGCCCGGAGCATTGTTGAGGTCATCCAAGACACAGACATCCTAAGGTTCACCAACGCAAGGGAGCGCGCAAATTTGTTACAAGTTAGTTTGGCGTTTTAGCGTGACCAACAAACATGTAGATTCAAAATCCACATTGTTGATGTATGATACACTGGTTGACTTGTAGTAAAAAAACTACAATACGGGCCGATCTTAATTACTTTTTTGGGACCGCGCAAGATGATAGAACATGCACAACTTGGTGCCTTGTGATTTTCAGACACGCCCCGGAAAATCAATGGAATGTATGACAAAGTGCTTAAGACTAAAGCAAGAGCAAATCCACCTGCAGCCTTGCGCATGTGGAACTCTCTTCTTATTCTGCGACATTTTTGAAGCCAGAAACTCGGGTGGAGGCGTTTGGGGTTCAAAAATTCCCTCTCAAGTCCCTGAAATTTTAACAAGGCGCCGCTTCCAACAGCCTCCCCGGCACCTGCACAAAACTCGGCAGCTCGCCTTTGTGAGCAGGAGATCCTGGGCGTGCACCCATGGCCGTTCAAACCATGTTGTGCACAAGAACGGTGATCTGACAAAATATAGAGAAAGCGTTCAAAGATAAAGGTGCTTCAAACGCATGCTGCGGCACTGGAAATTTAAGGTTTGACGTGATGGTCGGCTGCTGTGTTGAACTAGTAGCGGGGCTGTACTTGCAAAGATTAACTTCATGCAGTCTGTTTCTGAACTTGGGCGGCCTCATCGCGGTCTTGGCAGGCGGTTCTCGTGAACCTTCCAAGCTTGGGCGGCAGCAAAACAAATCAAGCCAAGTTTCGCTTCAAGACCCCGCCGCTGGATGTCAACTCTTCTGCGCGGGTGTCCCGGTGCAGCTGCAGCACACCTCACCCGTGACAGAAGCTTCACCCCAATGGATTCGCCAACTCGCGCGCCAAGAGCAAACCCAAGCTCGAGTTGGATGCGACTTTCGGTCATGCTGGGCCGACACAACATGCTGGTGTCCATATTCCAAACTTTCAGATTGAAACTACCCGAGCAAATTCCAAGATGCCGTATAGGATGATCGGCCCACGAAGTATGAATAGGAAACCTATAGGATAGGATGGTTCAACGATCAATGCGTATGTTGTAGACCAGCATGACAAACTCTGTAGTACGCAATGTAGAGTGAATACACACATGCACAGACACACACAGACATATATATATATATATATATATTATATATATGTATATACGTATATGTATCAGTCTAAAATAGAAGTTTACACACATTCACAGGCTTTCCTAGGAACGTCCTCCAGCGGATTTGTTTGGGTGGAACACTGATGAAGCGCTGGAGTTGTGGACAAGAAGGTCGGTAGCTGAGAAAAACACCTGGTGTTATACCATGTCATGAATCAGCTGTCCCTATGTTAGAATGAGGCTGCAAGGCTACTGACGCTGGACTCCAAGACAAAATTGTCTGCTTATATAACTAGCACTGCTTTAATATAAACAAGGTTTCCCAAAGGGATGCTTCTATGCAGCAGGCAAAAGACCAAGCATGAGCATAGGTACATAGACACAGGAAAAAAAACAGGAAACCACACAAATCAATCTGTCATTCGCAGTAACGGCCCTTTTTGAAAAGCCCTTTATGCATCCGCTCCCCAGCAAACGCCAGCAAACGCTGGCAATGATGCACACGGCACACGGTACCGCGTGTGTGCATTTGAAAATATAAATGATAATGATATGTGTATATATATATATATGTATATATTGATCAATTACAAACATGTATAGATATTAATTACTTTGCCTGTAATAGATATTAATTACCGGGTTCCAGCTTTGAGATAATTTCTATTGCCTATAAGCAATAAAACAAATACACGTAAAGATTCACACAAAAACAATGTTTAAATTGGAAAACATTGTAGTACCATGCTTCATCAATTATACTAAACGAAACTCAGAACTAGGTCTTAGGCCAATCTCAAACATACTACAATATAATCCGAAGGCAAGAACTGAATGTTCATGAAAAAAGATATCAACCATCTATTTCTAGTACTTTCTCGGATATGCTTAAAGAATTAAAGAACCCTTAAAAGGTCAAACATATTCCCTATACATGCCAAGTAGTGGACTTTGCATTGGAAAAATGAAATTTATCATCGACAAATCTAAGCTTTAAAACTAAATAAATAATAATAAATACAGTAAAAAAGTCAGAAACCACGCAGAGTCTGCAACACAACTCCGGTGGCCGGTGAAATCTGAGTTGCTCCTACCCTTTTTGTGCTGCCAGGGGTGCATCTTTTGGTACGTCATTTGTACATCATCTTGCTGTGGAACGAATGGGTGTTCCATGTCCATGTGAGTCTACCCTAAGAAAAAATCCCATTGAAATCCCACTACCCTCTGGTAAACTAACATAGCCATGGAAAATCATCATTTTTAATAGGTAAACCATCTATAAATGGGCCATCTATACCATGGCTATGTTAAATAACCAGAAGGTAAATCATCCGTATACCGTACATCCGTTGGATTCTGAAACGGAACGCGGCCTCGGGATGATTTAATTTTCTCAAGGCCATTGGCCATGATTCCAGGCCAAACGGACGGGCTTCGGTTGTTCAAAAATTAAGGCGTTCCATTTCTGGATGATGTTCCCACTTAAACCATCCATTACAGGGGAGATTTCTGGATGATGTTAGATGTTCCCCATGTGTGGATGATCAAAACCCGAATGTACTGATTTTCATCAGAAACATCGGTGGCCACGGCAGTAGCACCCTGGAGATCTGGCCCAAGTGATGCGAAAAAGGCTGCGAACATAGCCATAGCATGCCATAGCTAGTTCGATGATTTACCTATGAAAATATGGTGAAAACTGGTTCTGTTACTTTACTGGAGGCCAATGGTTGGGGTTGATTGTTCATGTCGTATCAACCACTAACAGCCGCTAAAAGATCTAAGGCCCTTCTTCACCATCTCTTAATGGTGAGATGTCAACTCTAGGAGACTTCGTTGAATCCCCATGCAACGAATTGCTGCTGGGGTGCATTCCATGATATATCCCAGGTCAAATATAGGGATTTTATGACGTTTTAGCTATGAAACATATGGATGATATCTGGTTGGTGGTATACCTACCCCTCTGAAAAATGATGGACTTCGTCAGTTGGGATAATGACATTCCCAATATGATGGGAAAAATAAAAATTGTTCCAAACCACCAACCAGTTCTAACTCACTATCCATTTGTAGGAAAGCATCTGGTCTTTGACCATGTCGCTTCAAACCCCACTTTGTTGGATCATTGTCCTTTGTCCAAACTCGTTTGCCAATCGTTGATTGGTTCAGCTCTCACTTATCGCATATTGCATACACTTGTTCCAGATGATGTAGCATATAAATGTATTAATCATTTGTGTATATGTATATATATGTACACGTGTTCGTTGGATTCGTAGCCTTTCAACACCCCATTACACATGAAATCAACGACTCTAACCTCTTTCTTGCAGTTCACATGGAAATATATGCCCACTTCTGGAAGGCTCTATATACCCATTGTTCTGTTTTTTGGTTGAAATCCCAGCATTCCAACATTTTATCATTTTATTTCATTATATATGTATATATTATTATTGATAGCTCCATGTACTTTTACATCTTATGGCATTACATGTAAATATAAGGTCAACAAAGTCAACATCATCTTTGAAATATGTATATATAATCATATATATATGAGTACATTAAAAAGGAATATGTGCATCTACATATACATGTACACGATGAATGTAAATTAATCTAAACACAAGCCATAAGCTATGTTAAGTTATCTACAACGGTAGATATCGAGAACGACATATCTGTGCATGTGTAAGTGTAAATAAACACATATGTTTTGATGTAAATATACACATATCATGTTCATTAACAAAAATCCATAAATACACATCAACATCCAATAATACATGGGTTAATGGTTTATCAACGGAATTAAGAACTAGTCCCAGCACTGTATAAGAATTCCTTGTATAAGAAAATCAGGCGCTGGATTTGTTTCTCCCGTAGATGTTTTGTGGAACGCATGTGAAAATGGAAAGCAAGAAATTGAGGGACCCTGGAATCTTCAAGCCTAAGAAATTTGGATGTTTGCGAAGAAATGTGTTATTTTAGGGACTAGCCTGTACACCTCCCCCCTTGAAAGAAGTGGCTCCTACCCCTATCCCGTGAAACTGCTGGTTCCTAAGGCGCCAATATCCGTCAGCATGTTGAGAATCTTGGGTGTGTCATTGTATGCTATAAGAAATTGCTAACCCATAGGATCCATGGTGCTGGTATATATGCTAACATTTGGGGTATATTGATGGTAAATGTTACCATATATAGCATACATGGATCCTATGGGTAAGAAATTGAGGGACCCTTGACCGATTAATTGCACACACATACTGAAATACATGGGCCCTTTCCGTTAAGAAATTGAGGGACCCTGGCCATCGGCAACCAACAATCTTATATAACGCGCGCTGCAATGGTTATTAACAGAAAACCTTGAAAACCATTAAAAAATCACCTATAAATCCATATTTTCAGGTTTCCTAAAGTGGGGGTACCCCTCAGTCATCTATCTTATGAGGCCTTTCCATTATAAACCATACAGCTATGGGGTACCCCCATGACTATGGAAAGGCACAAGGCTTCTCAGCCAGGCGTTCGGCGAAGTGCTCCGCCAGCATCGACCTGCAGTTGGCGAACCATAAACGTTGGGGTTATATAGTGGCTATGAATATATATATATATGAACCATATTTATGTTAATGTATGGTTGTTCTATTGTTTTTGATATAGTTCTAAGTATATGAATGTATTATATATATAGAGTTCTATAGTGGCTATTCAATAGAACAACCATGTTTCAATATCAATTCATGTATGTTTGTCATCATAATCTGATAGTGATTAAATCATATGAACATGGCTGGTTCAGCCAGTTATTTGATATATGGTTGCAATGATCAAGTTTTCATTATTATCATATGCTTACAAGTTTATAATATTTGACTATATAACTTGGTTGATTAGAAAAATGGTATATAGTGGTTACATTAATTGATACTGACTATTGATGATTGACCACAGTTGATGATGAACCATAATGAACCCACCATGGCTCACCAACTAATAGTATTATGGTTGGTTAACCGGTTCATGGTAATATTAACACATATCAACGCAATATTAACACAATTAGCCAAAGTCATTATTGATAAACCATGCTTATCATGATTTACCCAATCTACAACTTTTACATGGATATTAGAGTTATCGCTTTATTTCCTGGGGTATGCCGCCCTCACCCCGTTCGTCAGAACGTTTTTTTTCCGGAACGGGGTGGGGCCCTGGTATACCCAATTTCAAAGACAGTTAATTGGCCAACTCTCATGGGATGGTTTACCATCTTGTTATTTAACATAGCCATGGAAAATCACCATTCTTAATAGGTAAACCATCTATAATTATGGGCCATCTATACCATGGCTATGTCAAAAAAAAAAAATACCGGAGGGTAGTTAACCACATTACAAGAATGTAGCGATCAAGCGGTCTGACAGGTTTCTAAATAGGAGGATTAGAACTCCGTAACTAAGGTTATATATGGTTAGATATATATATATATAATATTATATCATTATAACCCCCTTATAACTGTTAGGGCCATAACTGTAGAATATGACTCAAACACATCGGCACTCCAGCGAGGGACAGAAGCGGTGTCATCGAACGGCATCGAAGATACCCCATGGCCCCAGCATTGGTTTCTGGATGGTACCCTCCATTAAAATAACCTACAATGTGAGGCCCCCAAGATAGCTAAGTTTGTTTATAACTCCAATAACTATGGTTTATGGTACTTATAACTATAGTTACTGGGGCTTATAAACCAACTTATAACTGGGGGGCCTCACATTGTAGTTGATGAACCATTGGTAAATTAACCATTAAAACATGGCTGGACACTCCTGAAAACCAACATGTATAAATTTAATAACAATCTGGTTGGTGGTTGACCTACCCTCTGGTTAACTAACATAACTATGGAAAATCACCATTTTTAATGGGAAAATATGGGAAAACTCACTATAAATGGTTATTTCCAATAGCTATGTTGACATAACCAGAGGAACAGTTCAAATTCTAGGAACCCCCCATAGATGGGATAGAACATCATTTCCAGAACTGTTTTTGGATGATTTTTTTTTCCCCCCGTGTCGTTTCCAGGTTTCCAGCCAAGCGTTCCTTAGCTATGACTGGAGTTTTTTTTTTCAGATGGGATTCATGTTAGACATTTTCCCCATTTAGGGCTCCCCATCAGACAGACTCCAGGAATCTCCAGGATGGCGCTTGGCGCACCAAGGCGCTTGGCACTTCCTACGGGCCCTGCCAACAGCACATGCTCTCGAGCGAGGAAGGCCAACAACAATCCCTGCGGGGCAGGGATTGCCCCCCTGGTCGATCTCTCGGACGGAATCCGGGAGACATCAACTACCCTCTGGTTATGTCAAGATAGCGACATAGAAAATGGCCATTTATAGTTGGTTTTCCCATGAAAAATGGTGATTTTCCATAGTTATGTAAAGGTTTACCAGAGGGTAACCATCTACTCGACATGGGTTTAGTTGATATATCATTGGGATATTTCCAGATGTTTCATACAAAACTTCTGACCAATTTCAAACCATCTGCATCCATTTAGTGTATGGCTTCGTCTGAGGGTGCCCCACAATCTCATGTTTGACATGCGCAATATTCCAGAGGGCATCTTTTTAAAAGTGCATGAGTGCATCATAGTGCATCCATCCCGCAAACATAAAGGCGACTGCCTAACCAGGCTTCTTCAGCGGCTATGATCCATGATCCAAGTAGAAATCCTGCTTGGAAGTGCAGTTCCAGTCACAAGTGGGTATAGAACCATGGAACCATTGAAAATTGGTTGAAAGTTTTCCCTAAGATGGATTATAGTAATCCCCAATAAGCAGGTACGTTGTATAACTCCTTATAAGCACCAATCAACAAGAATATTTTAAGGAAACAAATAAACAAACACAAATTTATAGTTGATTTTTCCATTAAACAGCTCCATGTATGGTGATTTTTCCATTATAAGCAGCTAGTGACCCCAGCCCACTTCCAGCCCATGGTGCCACCGTGCCTGTTTGGCTTCGTCGTGTCCCACCACGTTTCCCAGGCCGCGCACGCCGTGCACGGAGCCGGCGGAGCCGGCCGAGCCCCGGCGCCAAAGGGCCATCCGCATGGTGGAAATTCGGGGCACCCTCTGGTTGCTTAACGTAACTACAGGGTGGGGGCCTCAAGATAGCTAAGGTGCCTTATAACTGGCTTAACTTAACTATGGTTTATGGAATAGATTCTATAGATATATTATAACATGATAATAACAAACTAGTTCATGGGTTTGATTAAGCAACTTATAACGGGAACCACCATCCTGTATGGTATAGATGGCCATTAGAAATAGACTAATAGATGATAAACATATTTAATTAACATGATGATGTATCTAAAGGTTTGGAATCTAGTGGAATCTCTTCTGTGTTTCTTTTACGGAAGTCTCAAATTTCGATGCTTGGAATCTGCAAGGGGGTCCCTTGCAAGCCTTGGGGTCTTCGTAGCTACGACATCTCTTGGCAAAATCAAGTGCTATGCTCATATTGTGATTTCAATCCCGCATTGGAAGAACTACACATATCATGAATATACAAATATCTATCGAAAACCATTGACAAATAAGAATTGTATTGGTGAAAATCACACATATACTTTCTGCTTACTTGTAACATCACTGTATCATTGGCTAGCAGTGCTTAGGGATTGGTGTTTATGATGGCTGCCTCTTGACAGTTCCAAATGGCTACTCCGACGCCACGGCTGTGGTCTCAGTGGTTTTGATGGTTTGAAGCTGACAAAATTGTCCTGGCTGGTGGGTCTAAATATGTCTATATATATATACCCTCTGGTGAACTAACATAGCAATGGAAAATGGCCATTTGTAGTGGATTTTCCCATGAAAAATGGTGGATCTTTCCATTGCTATGTTAGTTCACCAGAGGGTAAAGATTATATGGGCTTCAGATTTTCTAGCAATTTACCGCAACATTTCCTCTAGATCAGTACCACATTAAGCGAGGAAGATCCTAGAAATTGGACATTTTTTTCTCTCATCCACAAGGGGGATGAACTCTTCCAAAACTCGTTGGAAACCGCCATGACACATAACCACAATCACAAAGTTCGCCATAGATCTGGGTAAATTATAATATTTCACTAACCTGAATTAAGGCCATATTGGGATTATTTCCAATACTAACCATGATTTCCAGTGAGGTCGCAGTGAGGTCGTTAGAATTTACCCAGATATAGATGGCTAATGATGGCTATAAAATCTCAAGCAACCATAGATCCTTGCAACACAAATCGTTCGAAATCACCACTGGATACAGTAATGTTGTCATTGAAAACAGAATCATGCTGATTGTAAGAGGGTTCCTCGTTGCTGCATGGTTCTTCCTTTGCTGCTTGATGCTCCCCTTTTCGTTGTTTCACGTTCACTTGGTTGAAGCCCCTTTCTGATGGTTACCTTCTGACAATTTAGCAGTTTTTTCCGGGAAAATCGCCATCTTGATGTAAATCATCGAACTAAATGGATCAGGAATACCAATTCGCAAGCCGCGTGACATTGCCGCTACTCCATGGTTTTTGGTGAACTCCCAGCCCTGGGAAAAACACAGGCATCCCGGAACCCACCGGGCTCCGCTGTGCTGAGCTGGTTGATGTGATCCACCTGCCTAGGGGCAAACTTGGAGGGCTGGGGCTCTCTGAAACCTATGGGCAAACCCTCCGGTAGGGTCCCTACGTGGCTGGAAATCCCCAAACCATGGCCGGAGCTTTAGAGCTGGGAGAATCATCGAACTCAATGGTGGATGTTGCAGCCACGTTTGATTGACGGACTCTAACTATATAACCACTTTTGCCTAAGGATGAACATAATGAACCCCAGTTGGTCAGTTTGATTCAGTTTGGCTGCACCAAAAGATCCGTTTGCGTGGCAGGGTTGCTCCGAACACCCAAATACAAGGGGGAAGCAAAATCAGTTCCAACAGGTTGGAGCAACCCTGGGTTTGCCTCATGCCAAGAAAAAAACCTCAATCAATCCACTTCATCATTATCCTTGACGAAACATGACCATGCATTGGGGTCAAAAACAATCATATGGGGATGGGTCAAAACCCTGGTACCTAGTGAACCCCAAAATAGCTGGTAAATGGATGTTCATTCCCCTAAAAATGGTATTAATAGGTATTGATCCATACCCATATCTGAATTTAAATCAATTTCAAACACACCCAAGTCAAGCTGATCCCCCATTTACTGCAGATAATATGGGAACAATGTTTACAATGGATTGCACATGATGGGGACTATTATGGTATGATAAGATACAGCTGCTACATTATGTCACCAAATAGTTCCCAATTTATTTCCCCCAATGTATATATTTACCTATCAAGTATACATACCATATGGTTGGTTAAATATACGAACACCTCAGATATATCTTATTTGGGTAGAATCATACTAATATACCTTTAGCATACTTTAGCCCTATATCATACTTTTGGCTTACAGCAAATATATCATACTATTAACTACCTATCCCCTTCTGATATATGGCTAAACAACTAAATCATCGTAAATCCCAATTACATAAACAAAAAACAAGTGACATCACCACGTTCCCTAATAACAAATCACAATTTTCCCAAATATACAGTAGTCACAAATTCCCCCTAGCAAAAAAATATTTTTTTCCTATTTAAAGCACCATTTTGGGCAGACACTCAGCCGAATTCGATTTCTCCAAGGTGTTCCAGGAGGTTTTCCGCTGCTCATCATTCGCACCGTTGTGTTTTACGCGGCGAAAATATCGCCCAAAATGGCTCTCAGGGTCTGTCACCAATGGGACATCAGATGATACAAGCCGAAAAAAAACCATCAGATTTGCGTGGTCTTTATGGAAGACAAGACAAAATACCCTCTGGTAAACATACAAAAACCTATTGAAAATGGCCATTTATAGTGAGTTTTCCCATTAAAAATGGTGATTTTCCATAGCTATGAACAAATTACCAGAGGGTATCACTTAAAATGCCCACACAATCTGTGTCAAATCACCAAAATTCTGCAGAAAAAAACGCGCAAATTTTCCATGGGAAAATCCCCATTGAAATCCTCCATGAAATCGGCGCCTGGGAGGTGGCGCCGACACTGCAACAGCATCTTCGTCCTTGCAGGGGATTTCGATGGGATGTGGTATCGATTGACGTGGGGAAAATGTGGGAAAATGTGGGAAAATGTGGTAAAATGGTGGAACATGAGGATTTATGTGGATTTGAGATGATGTGAGAAGGTAAAATTGGGATTTCGTGGGAGTTGTTACATGGATTCAAGAATCGAAGCACGCTTAATTGATGATTTAATGGGGATTGAATGGGAAGATATTCACTAGCATAACGGACAATTACGCACAACTTAATATAGGATTTCAGAGATCATCATCACCAACAAACTGATTCTGGGAACTCGAAAATTTAGTCTCATCGGCAAAGCCAGTGCACAAAAGCTCCAAACAGGTTGTGACTCGGATAATATTAATTTATGGTGATTGAGGAAGAACAGATATTGTATAGAGATGTATAGAGTATAGTGTTCACATTGACTTGAGATGAGTTGAGCAACAAAACTGTCTGTTTTTTCAAGTAAGCTGTACATAAAATTGCAGGGCGCCATCATCACCCAGCAAGAGGGGTGAACTAGTCCATTCCAGCCAAGCCAAGACTCTGTGACCTATGAAGGTAAACTCTCTGGCTGGGTGGCACTACAAACATCTGTATTGATATGGTCTTACTCAGGTATGCCGCCAGTAGGGGCAGTTGTTTGATTAGAGGGAATCTCCATAAAACGTGACCAAAAACATACAGTACCCTTGTGGATGGTCAATACATTCAATACATGCGGTTGGTTAGAAGTTCTAATATGTTCTAACTCATGATACGGTCTGCCTGTTCATCCTTCATGCGCAAGCGCTCAAGTTTTGCTCATCAGTCATCATCCCACATGGATTTCCGGTCGATTTTCACAAAACGCTCATAGCATGTCATAGCTTCATAGATAGACTCGAAGGGCCGGCTTGGTACACCACTATCATCTACTTCTTGGTTCTTCAATGGGGGATCATCCCTCTGATCAACAACTGGGGATCCCTCTGATCCCTACTCATCACAGTGACGTTTTTTGGTTCTTCATTTTTTGGCCAGAAATATGTACCATCAGACCCTCGAAGTACCCTAAAAACATCTAGAAACAATGTTTTACCCTACGGTTCAAATACATTTTGCCATTTTTTTGGTGGTATTTGGCGGGTCATTTTCAAGCGCCTCCTCGTTGCTGTCAGACTCAGTGATCGGTGAGGGAATGCCTCCACAGCGCTGCTTGGTTTGTCTCAGCAAATAAGGAAATTATTTCCAAAATTATGGCAACTTTGATGACAGAAATAGACTTTTGGGCAACGGGTAGCCCAAAAAGGCACTATTTTTGTGATTTGGGGGTTCCACATTTGTCAAAATCCTATACTTTTGACTACTTGTAAGTGATGTTCAGTGGACAAACGAGAGTAGATTATATAATAAACATTATATAGAAATTCTAAGGAATATGTATGAAGATGTAACTATAACCAAGCGGCTTTGATGCGGTTCCCTATGCCTGCCAGTACCCAAGCAAAGTAAGTAGGTGCAACTTTGTTTCCCTTAAATCCACTGAGGACAGGCTGCCTACATGTGGCAAATACCCAGTGGCTACGCTGCCGCCCCCTTGCCCGGGGAGAAAAATTGGCAGGACCAAACCATGAACCCCAACTCAACAAGCTTTAGACCTGGCCCAAAAGGTTTGGCAGCCACATATAATCACTGGTTTTCATTGGGCGCCTTCAGTATCTGGAGTCGAGTTCTTGTAAATAGCTAAACAATCATAGTCATAGTATATAATTAATGTGATTTGTTCCTATGCCCAAGAAAGAACACAGTTTTATTGGAGAGGTGGTTCTATTTCCCATTATGCGGCCTCGGGTGGCGACGCACTGTCTCTCTGTTTGAGCTGTGCAGCCGCTTTGCGTGCTCTCAGTCCATTCCACGTCTGCCATGTGAGGCAGTATTCACTTGTCGTGTGCTGATCTTGGCTCGCAGCATGGCTGCCAATCCACGTGCTGGCCTTGTTGGCGTGTTCATTTCATTGAGGCTGGCGGTCACCTCTTCATTTGGCATAGCCCATAGGATCCATGGTGCTGCTATATATGGTAACATTTACCATCTATATACCCCAAATGTTAGCATATATACCATACATGGATCCTATGGGTAGGGGAAAATTCTCTTTGCATGAGCCCTTGCCGCGACTCCTCTTGCCATGGCGTCAAGTGTCCTACTGGGCGTCCCCCTCCGTCACTCGAAACAACTCTGGCCATATAGTGAAGATGTGGATGATGTTGATGATGTGGATGATGTTGTTGGTGTTGTTGTTGTTGATGATGATGATGATTAAGATGAAGATGAAAATGATGAATATGACAAATATGAAGAAAAAAAAAATATGATGATGATTATTAGTATTTTTAGTATTATTAGTATTATTATAGTATTATCATTATTTCAGGATGCTGAAACATAAACACATGACCGTCCATTTTTTAATGTTCTGTTGGAAGTCCATATGTTTGATTCAGAAAAACTTTCCAAAACGGTTTCCATCACCAGACTATAATCCATATGCATCCATGGCGGGTAAACGCACCATTGTTCTTGGTGAGCAAATCCAATTCCGTTCTCAGCTCATGAACAAAGCACATCATTTCTCAAACCATCGTCAAATATTTCAAATCATACTCAAACTGGTTGGTGGTTTCAAACATGGTTTTTTTTGTCCATTTCATATATGGGATGTCATCCTTCCCATTGACTTTCACTCCATCATTTTTCAAGATGGTGAAATTGCACCACCAACCAGTATTTCACTTCACATTTCCAGGTCTCCAACGCCAACTTTTCGTTTTTTAAGAGGGGTCAACCACCAATTTTTCGCATCTGGAAATTCCACATGTTTCCCCGGTGAAATCTCCGAAAGAAGCAAGGCCAGCCTTTGGCGGCGACCTCTGCGGCCACGAACTGTGCGTTGCGCTCGGTGCAGGACCTGGCGGAGCGATGTGTTGGTTCATTAAAATGGAAAACGATCATAGTTATGGCCCTGAAACCAGTTACACATTCGATTATTTCATGATATAAAAGCTTAGTTATAGGAGTTAAAAACCCATTTATAAGTGTTAGTTGGGCCATAACTGTGATATATTGAGTGCTGATATGGTAGTCACCAGCCATTACACATTACGATAAAATTGAGATTGAGTACAGAAGATTGATCTATGTAATTGGTTATCTTTTGAAGACACCATATTTTTTTCCCCACAACTTTGTGTGGGGTTCTTGTCTTTGATTCTGTATCCTGGGCTCCTTCTCCTCCTCCTCCCGCCTCCTTACACATACAACAATAACCTCCTTACACATACAACAATAATTTAACACACAGAAACTTAACATACATTAACTTAACATACATTAACTTCACACACAAACTTAACATACAATAAATTTCACACTAACTTCAACATACATTAACTTCACACACACAAACTTAACATACAAAAATTTCACACTAACTTCACACACACACAAATAACAGACAATAATTTCACACTAACTTCACACACACAAACTTAACTAACATACATTAACTTCACACACACAAACTTAACATACAATAATTTCACACTACCTTCACACACACAAACTTAACATACCATAATTTAACATACAATAATTTCACACACACAAACTTAACATACAATAATCTAACATACAATAATCTCACACTAACTTACATACAATAATTTCACACACACACGCACAACCTGACATCCACTTTCGTTGCAGGCGTGGCACAAACTCACATCTACCGTCGTTTTGCGTGGCAGGCGTGGGCGCCCGTGACGCCGCGGCATTTTGCATGGCAGGCGTGGCACAACCTGACATCCACCTTCGTCTCACGTGGCAGGCGTGACACAATCTTTTCACGTGGCAGGCGTGGCACAATCTCACATCTACCGTCGTTTTGCGTGGCAGGCGTGGCACTTATGGTACTGGGTGGCGCCCTTGGGCCGGGATTTGTCGCCTGGGCGCCGCGCCACTTTGCGTGGCAGGCGTGGCACAACCTGACATCCACCTTGATATCACGTGGCAGGCGTGGCACAATCCGCGCCCCTTTGCGTGGCAGGCGTGGCACAACCTGACATCCACCTTGATATCACGTGGCAGGCGTGGCACAATCTCACATCTACCGTCGTTTTGTGTGGCAGGCGTGGCACTTACGGTACTGGGTGGCGCCCTTGGGCCGGGATTTGTCGCCTGGGCGCCGCGCCAATCTCACATCTACCGTCGTTTTGCGTGGCAGGCGTGGCACTTATGGTACTGGGTGGCGCCCTTGGGCCGGGATTTGTAGCCTGGGCGCCGCGCCACTTTGCGTGGCAGGCGTGGCACAACCTGACATCCACCTTGATATCACGTGGCAGGCGTGGCACAATCTCACTTCTACTGTCGTTTTGCGTGGCAGGCGTGGCACTTATGGTACTGGGTGGCGCCCTTGGGCCGGGATTTGTCGCCTTAGCGTGGGCATCGCGCCACTTTGCGTGGCAGGCGTGCTACAACCTGACATCCACCTTCGTTTCACATGGCAGGCGTGACACAATCTCACATCTACCGTCGTTTTGTGTGGCAGGCTTATGGTACTGGGTGGCGCCCTTGGGCCGGGATTTGTCGCCTGGGCGCCGCGCCACTTTGCGTGGCAGGCGTGGCACAACCTGACATCCTGGCACAATCTCACATCTACCGTCGTTTTGCGTGGCAGGCGTGGCACTTATGGTACTGGGTGGCGCCCTTGGGCCGGGATGTGTCGCCTGGGCGCTGAGATTTATTTCGTGGTTTCGTCTTGATCCTTTTTCTGTGCTGCCAGGCGTTGCTTGTCAATGGTGAAGTAATGCGCAGGCCGGGAGCTGCACTTGCGGCGTAGTGTGGCATTCGGGCGGCGACATTCATTCGAGACAATCTATACGGTTGATCAATAAGATATCTACTGTGGTTAAGCTATGTAGAATAGATTGGTTCTTGGGGTTCATACTGTGCCGAGATATTGCAGCTGTCATGTAGCAACAAGATAGCACGCATGAAGCCTCTGTGTCTTTGCAACTGCCGCAGGTACCCTTCCAATAAGCTTCTTGGACGGAGGACAGGCGCATGTCTCACGGCCCGACAATGAGTCAAGCAGTCTATGACCTCGGGAGCCAGAGCTTTGACCCAATGTGGGAAGAAGCGCGTGCAGATGCCTGGCGAACCGACACTTATGTGAATTTTCGCGACCTCTGTGTGTTTCTGAACTGTGTGGTTGCTTGCTTCTTTGGAAAAACCTGCACAGTTAGCGTCATAACCGTGGTGCTTGCCTGTGACTGTGACTGTGTCGTGTCTTCCAGCTACACTTCTGCGGCCAGTTACCTTTCCTCTATGTCATCATCGTCGGATGCATACATACATACATACATACATGCATGCATGCATACATACATACATACATACATACATACATACATACATACATTACATACGTACCTCCCATTTTACATACATACATACCTACCTACCTACCTACCTACCTACATACATACATACATACATACCTACCATTTTACCTTCTCGATCTTTCACCATCTCCTTTGTCTTTCCTTCCTTCCCTTTCCCCGCTAAAACCATTGAAGCTCATTTTAGGAAGAAGTTGACTTGTGGGGTTATCCGGTCCTTTAATTTTGTGTATATACTTGTAAATATTTGTATATCTATGGATTTTGCAGATCGATGCATTGGTAATATAAATCCCTATGGATCCAAACACTGTCTGAGAAGGTACTTAACCCTCCAAATTATAGTAAATTATACCCCAGTCCCACTTCCTAAGAATCTACTTGGATCCAAAGGGAATATAAATACCTATACAAACATCAAAATGGTTTATACAACAATGATAGATCAATAGATCTGGTGGATGTGTTCATGATTTATGCACCCTCTGCTTGTCTTAAACCCCCAATAGTATCCAATACAAAGTGTATCACACTTGGACTTGGTAGGGATATTATGGGTACCATCTGGTTATGACTAACATAGCCATGGAAAATCCCTTATAATGGAGGTTTTAATGGGAAAATTATCTATAAATTGGTCATTGTCCATGGCTATGTTAGATAACCAGAGGGTATAATGGATAGTTTATCCCTACAAAATGGTAGCCTCTGGAGATTTGGTCTCTTATGAAAATCACCATCTTCAATAGGTAATTTAAATATCATCGAACTAAAAGAACCCGTTTATACCATAGCTACGTAAAACTACCAAAGGGCATAAACACTGGTTTATAAATGCCAATATACAACCTTGAGTTGTGCTTCTTGCTTTAAAGAATTAATCAATATCAACATCAGTAGTCATGGTCAATGAATGGCCAATGTTAATGGTCAATATCAATGTATATTCTGTGTACGCACAAAAAAACATAAGACGCACATATACAATCTATAGAACGATACAGTATTGTGTTTTTGCGCTAACTGAGGTGCCCAATTTCGGACCATAAGACCAACTCTCCAATTTGAGTATTCGTCAAGTGCGTTGTTAAGCCCCAAACAAAACGATACGATGGCAACACATGTGTGCTTCATGTGTGCAAAAATAAAATCTGAATAAATCACAATAGTGAAATCATAACAATAGAACACATCAACACATTTCCAACATGTTGCTTAACATGTTAAACCTTAGGATCTCAATATTGTGGTTTCTATTCGTTTGAGAGGTACCCTCTGGTAATCAAACAAGGCAAATGGAAATCCTCGTCATAAATGGAGTTTACAGCTGTAATCTGCAAAGATCTGTTGCCGTGGTGGAATTTCGCCATGTTTAACCGGAGGGTAAATTACCAGAATCAATCTATATCATGGCCCGTCCTAGATACACCAAGCAGGGCGTTTCCTTATATTCCTCCATTTATATAAAGCAAACACATGACCTACAAAACCTACGTTCACCAAAGTTTCGCCCGCAGATTTGTTTGTTAAGTCTCCACATCCGCTCAACTACCCTCTGGTAAACTAACATGACTATGGAAAATCACCATTTTCAATGGGTAAATCCACTATAAATGGCCATGTTCAAAAACTATGTTAAATTACCAAAGGGTATCCACATCCCATCCTTCCCTGAAACAACTCGCCAGTTCCCACCTCTCTTGGACGAAACGAGGGGTAGCCTGACGCTACCAAAGAAGCTGGAAATCACTAGGCTGACAATCGGACTTGTGGTGGATATATCGATAGTTACTTGGGGGTACAAATCAACAAACACATGGCAATGGATCAATACCTGTAATCTATATATATAATATAGACATAGATTATATATTTTGATTCATAGATACCACTTCAAGTTTTTTTTACATCCACTGACCAGCTAATGTTGATCTTCACCAAGGGTAGAATCGGATTTTTTTTCAGAACCGCATCTTGGGAGCCATCGAAACTGGCCCTATACATTGGCGGGAAAAAAGTGTCCCCTATGCTAAGTTGGATCTAACATGGGTCATTAAATGTCCCCATTGAACATCACCCAACCATTAGGTATATGGTCTATAATGGCTACTATAAGGTGATGTCCAATATACCCAAAATGGGACAGTTACCAACCCCTGTCTAAGCAGCATGAAACAGGATTTGGCCAAGAAACATCGGATTGATATTTGATCATATCTGGCTGGTGGTTGCTGCTAACCCCTCTGAAAAATCATGGAGTGAAAGTCAGTTGGGATGATTACATTCCCAAGATATGGAAAAGTAAAAAATCATGTTCCAAACCACCAACCAAATAGTTGGTCTATGATAGGTTTTTGTTGGTGGAAATTACAACAGGATAACCAAGGATCACTGGAAGATATGATCTTGGTTGTACTAAGCAAAACCCAAGAACCAGAGTATATGCCAATCACCAACCGTAAATACCATATAAAATATAAAACATTTAGTAGCAGGGAAATGGGAAGATTAATATACATCTTATCAAATAAATACCATAAATATTTCATGATTTCAACCATAAATACCCTACGGAACTTTTAACGAACATCACGGGCGCACCTGGCACCACTCAGAGACCTCGATGGGTTTCTCACTGACCTTGCCACCATCGATAGAGAAGGCCTCGGTGGATGCGGTTTTTAAGCACCAAATGGACAGCCAAATCATGCCTTTATGAAAGACATTTATAAACACCTTAAAAAAAGGATGACTAAAAAAGTTGATGCAATCTAAAGCAAGTATCTATTGAATGGAGTTGGATAATCATTGGATAATCATCAGCCAACTGTAACTTACTGTAACCAACCATTCGTTTCTTTTCCCCACTCAACGTTTCCGTAGGGTTCCCGACGCAGAATCGTTCAAACTGCTCCAAGGCTTGCCTTGGAGCAAATTGAGGCCAGATTTGGTGGTGGATCGTTGGTTGATTTTTTGAATGTTGGTTACATTTGATTTATTAATTGCTGATAAATGTTGTTGATTGACACATTTACAAGAGTTGATAATAATGATCATCATAGTTGATGATCATAGTTGATAAATGTTGATCATAGTTGATAATAATGATGTTGATAATTGTTGATAGTCATGATCTACAATGTTTTTTAGTTCATTGACGTTTCATCTCCACGTTGAAACAGACATTTTTTGTCGAGGTTTGTGGCAGATATATCGAGCTTAAGTTGGGACTGGGGAATGGGATATTGGGAGATGGATTGGATCCATCATGGCTTTAGCTCAAACTGGAAATCCCCAAAAATGCTACGTTTGATGAAGAAAAGGAGATCTTAGGCCAATGGGTTTTGGGGTGCCCAAGTATGTACATGTATCTATATAAGGTATAATTTATTTCACCAATCCGAAAGAAGATTACTTTGGGATAGTTACCGCGCTACTAAGCATCATTCCAGTGAGGTCGCAGTGAGGTGGTTATAATTTGGGTCCGGAACTGTTTTGGGAATTATTTTTTCATGTTGAGCATTGTTTTTTGGATCTGCTTTTAGGGTTAGTTTAGGGGTTTTGTTTGGTTTCAAGTTGTTTAAGGGTTGGGTTTTAGCGTTAAGGTCTAATCATTTAGGTTTTTAAGGCTTACTTTAAGGTTTTTTTGGGGTTTATATAGGCTTGGTTCAAGAGAAGCAGCTAAGCAAAGAAGCAGGGAAGCTCGCGCGCAGGGAGTCAATGCCAATGACTCCGAGTCCGGGACGCTGCCGCATCCACAAAGTTGGTCATATCCCTGATACAAAGGATCCGTCGCCTTTTATCGGGTACCCCAAAATCACACACATGCGCTGGAAAAATATCGTGTTCCTTAAGACACATTGCAATTTTTGCTTACTCCGTTACTCCCCATTCTTAGACAAATCCATTTCCACTCCTTGGTTTAAACGTGCAAAAAACCGATGTTCTGATCCTGGATTTTCCATAAAAATTGCCTCGTCAAATGAGGTACCGCTGAAAATTCAGGCCAAGCAAATCTCAACTTTGGGGTTAAAACATTAGATGTTTTAAGTATCCACCATGCAGCTATAATATCCAAGTCTCCACAAACCGCAATGTTGGCTAGGTTATAAATAGCTTAATTATACTTGATGGCTATCATCTATATAGATGTTACATGCGGTTTATAAGCCAACTTAGAATAAGTATAGTTACAGGTTTGCAAACTATACCCCCAACTTAGCACTAGATATTCCACAAGTAGTGACATCATAATACCAAACCAGAGAAGCACTATTTTTGTGATGTCTCTAACATGGATAACATCACAGGTAACCATAGATGAAACAAACTTAGCCCATAGAAGCACCATATTTTATCGTTGCCCGGGCACCGTCTCAACACACGTTTCTCAAACATCCGAGGGACGCCAGCAGCTGCTCTGAGAAGATCGAGAGCTCGCAATTGTCGAAGTGGACCACCTCGCTGAAAAAAAGGCCACAAAGGTGGATTTTCAGGGGAAAAACCATGGTAAAATCATGGCAAATGCATGCAGGATGGGCCCCCCCCCAGTTAAAAGGTTGGTTGATAAACCATTATAACTCCCATCAACTACAGTTATATCCACCATAAACCATATTTAAGCCACTTGTATAAGGCAACTTAGCTATCTTGGGGGCCCCATCCTGTGGGAATTATGGGACACACATGCATTAATGGATGAACACGGTAGATTTTTCATGGGGGAAATCATGGAAAATCATGGAAAAAATCATGGGAAAATCATGGAAAGTGGTGGTTTGACGCAGCTTGGATCAAATTCGCTTGAACCATTTGACCAGATGGCACTCGATACCCATCTGGAGGAGAAATCAAACCTCCATATCCGTGAGTCCAAACCATAAGTGGTGGTTTCATGGCCATGAATCATGAGAACTTCATGATGAAACCGCTACATGATGGTTGGATACGGATGGATAGCTGGGTATAGGAACCAACATCAGGCAACAAAACATGGGGAAATGATGCCGAAATGATGCCGATAGAATGGGGATTCCATAAATGATTCCATAATACTGTGGCAAACATGGAGACTGAATCGGATGATGATAATCTCCACTGCATTGACATGTATTGACTGTATTGGGCCAGCAAAACCACCTATCGACAAGGGTTTTGGTTCCACTGCTCAATCTTAAAACTATGACAGTCAATTGATGACGTTAGATTCAAAAACAATCCCAGCGAGTTGGGTTGTTCATTGTTTCTTGAAAATTTAGTTCTTCTTGTCCAGCCAATCATGGATATGTTTGATTCGCATGGATTCGCTGAAGGAAAACATAACTGGAAACCCATGGGTTTCGTAAATCCAGGAGTATTCTGCATGTTTTTCCTGAACTCAACCATTTCTTGGGAAAACAAATCGAAGTTGAAATCCCACTCAACCACCTATGACCCATTGACTAATTAAGTAGGTGAACCATTGTTTTTTGTAGATAGTTTTATGGGTGGAAATAACCCAACAAACATGACCGGGTGGCACCGCATTGTAGACAAATGCTTGTAGCTGGAAACAGCTCCGACAGGTCCCAAACATCCCTGAGCAGTCCGGGCAAATTGAGCGCGGCTTGGCTCCTATTCTGAGGTGCTGCTAGGGAATGGGTCTCCAAAAGCAGCAAGTTTTTTCAGAATCCCACACAGGAGTTGGTAAATGTCCAAAATAAACATCACCCAACTATTGGGGATATGATATGATATAATCTCCAACACATATTTCAAGGTGATATCCAAAATCCCCATTTTAGGGACATTTACCAACCCCTGCCACAATTTCAGGTGGAAAAGTGTTTAGAATCATCAACTGATTGGTTGAATCCCCAGTGTCTGTTTGCTGAAACAAGCAAGAGACACTAACAAGAGATGAAAAAATGGGAACATTATAACAATTAACCCAGATTAACCAGATTCTAAAATATTTAAAATCCCCTAATTTCTGAAAAAAAAAACGATGTTAAAACAGATTTAAACCACCATTTTTTAACTTGTCCATGAAAAACACCATGAAACTACCATTAAAAACCTCCATTTGCGGATGAGGTCAGCCTGTGATAAGCATGAAATCCAAGTTTTCAAAACGCCAAATCCCACTGAAACAACCATTTTCTTAAGTTTCCTCAGTTAAATATCAAACATCAACACCAAGTTTCTTGATTAAATTCAAAATAATCATCTTTTTTGTTGGTATAATACCAATTCTTGAGAATCAAATCCACATTGTCTTGATTACATTCCTCCAAAATCACAACAGCATTTAGTTATCGCTACAACATTTAGTTAATTACATCGAAATTCACTTCCTTTCGGTCAAATCCCGATGGAATCTTCATATATTGATTAAATCACAATTAAATCATTTTTTTCTTAGCTTGAGTCCCAAGGTCCGGTCTCTCAAATCCCGAAAAAAACCACACGCGCCATCCATCCATCCATCCATCCATCCATCCATCCATCCATCCATCCATCCATCCATCCATCCATCCATCCATCCATCCCATCGTTCATCGTCCTCAAGGAAGGTGCACAAGTCTTGTATTGCCGCGTCTGGAAGAACCTCAGAGCATAGGGAAGTTTGATACGCAAAAGTACTTGGATCATACCACTTAGTAGTTCAGTTCGCCCTAGTTATAAGATGGTGAACAACTACATGTGAACTAACCTAGTTAATTATAATGTACATCAGCCAACTATTATGGTTCACCTAGTTTTTTGTGGATTAACCCTACTTATCCCACTGACAAAAAAACAGCTGAACGTAACTAACCTACTGGACCTAAGTGGGATCCACCGGGGTATGGGCATTTTAATAGGGAAACAGCCATGATAATCCATAGTCCTGTACAGGACCTGGCGAAGACCATCATGGGGATAATTCTCTCCCCCTAATTTTTTGAACACGCCGCCCCCCAAATAATAAACACCTCAGGTAGCTTGAATAAAATTAGGGGGGTATTTATTATTGAATCAGAGCGGACCCAAATAATAAATTAAAACCCTTAATCAAAAACTTGTTTTTTTTCGATTTCAAAATCAAATAAATTTTCTCTTATAACGCAATTAACATATTGCCAAAAATTGGATTTCGAAGCGGACCCTAATGATAAATCTAAACCCTCAATAAACAACTATTTTTTTCGATTTCAAAATCAATTCAATTTCCTTTTATAACCCAATCAAAATATTGCCAAAAATTGGATTTCGAAGCTTCCCCCTAATTAATATTAAATTAAAAACACTAATATAAACAACTAAAATTTGCGGATGGACCCTAACCAAAAACACCCCGAGGTTGACTAGTTTTTATTCTTAGGGGGTGAAACCCACACATAGTAGCTTTATTTTCAACTTGTTTTCTAAAGGGGATCAATTAAAAGTCAAATTGGGCAACCTGAAATTTTCCAAACATTGGAGATGGATCCTAGTTCCCCACCTGCCAGGTGAGGGTTGTTAGATTTTATCAGAGTTGTACTCCTCCTCCTCCTCCTCCTCGGCTAGCTGTCCTCCTCCTCCTCGTCCTCCTCCTCCTCCGCCTCCTCCGCCTCCTCTTCCAGTTTCTCCTCGACCATGTCTGCATCAACTTCCACCTCAACTTCCGCCTTGCCAACTCTTCGCCAAGCTCTTCGCCAACTTCCCAGCTCAGTGCGCACTGCTGGACCTCAACCTGGGACAATCCCAGCTCAGTGTGCACCGCTGGACCTCAACCTGGGACCTTCCCAGCTCAGTGTGCACCGCTGGACCTCAACCTGGGACCTTCCCAGCTCAGTGTGCACCGCTGGACCTCAACCTGGGACCTTCCCAGCTCAGTGTGCACCGCTGGACCTCAACCTGGGACCTTCCGAGCTCAGTGTGCACCGCTGGACCTCAACCTGGGACCTTCCCAGCTCAGTCTGCACCGCTGGACCTCAACCTGGGACCTGCCCAGCTCAGTGTGCACCGCTGGACCTCAACGGCCAGATAGAATGCCAGAAGATATGCCAGATAGAATGCCAGATAGAATGCCGGAAGATATGCCAGAACATATGCCAGAAGATATGCCAGGTAGAATGCCAGAAGATATGCCAGATAGAATGCCAGAAGGTATGCCAGATAAAGTGCCAGAATGTTTGCCAGATAGAATGCCAGAAGATTTGCCAGATAGAATGCCAGATAGGATATCAGAAGATATGCCAGAAGATATGCCAGATAGAATGCCAGATAGAATGCCAGAAGATATGCCAGAACATATGCCAGAAAATATGCCAGATAGAATGCCAGAAGGTATGCCAGATAGAATGTCAGATAGAATGCCAGAAGGTATGCCAGATAAAGTGCCAGAATGTTTGCCAGATAGAATGCCAGAAGATTTGCCAGATAGAATGCCAGATAGAATGTCAGAAGATATGCCAGAAGATATGCCAGATAGAGTGCCAGAAGATATGCCAGAACAGATTGCAGAAGATATGCCAGCTAGAATGCCAGAAGATATGCCAGATAGAATGCCAGAAGATTTGCCAGATAGAATGCCAGATAGAATGTCAGAAGATATGCCAGATAAAGTGCCAGAATGATATGTCAGAACAGATTGCAGAAGATATGCCAGCTAGAATGCCAGAAGATATGCCAGATAGAATGCCAGAAAATATGCCAGATAAAATGCCAGAAAGTATGTCAGAGAATGCCAGAAGATTTGCCAGTAACAAAATGTATAAATGTCATGGTGGGGATAACTCGAAGTAAAGTATTTTTTATTATTCGGGGGGGTTTAGTAATAGGGGGAAGGGATGATCGTGGAAATATGTTATGGGAAATTTCAAGGGATGATCCGTGGTACTTTGTTCCTCTGCCAACAGTTATATAAACTTTCAGAGGATAAATGGTACACCCATTGAATCCCCAAAAAATCATCCAGTGCCGCAGTGCCGGCTGTTTCAGAGGAGCTTTTAGGAAGAGAAACCCATTGAAACAGGCGAAACCTGTAAAAACATCCCAAGAATGTCGTCAGACTGGATGATGTTAGCTAGACCCTGAATAACTGGTCGTGGTCATGCCAGTCGCGGTCATGCCAGCCCCACCCACGGCCATCGCTGCTGTCGTCAGAGAAGCTGGAATCACGTGGTGGAATGAGCCTGTACACGTCTCTCTGCCGGCCGCGGGGGCTGGGCAAATGCTGGCTGGACGATGCCGCGGATGTCAGACGCCGCCGTCGCTGCCAAAGCCCCTCACCACGGCCTGGATCTCTTGGTGAGATGTCAGACAAAAGCTCAGGCTCAGTCTGCTCATGGATGCGCATCTGCTGGTCAGTCCGAAGATGACCCCTCTTCCAGGTGAGCCAGGCAGACTTCTCCTTGCAGAGAGCTGTCAGAGCACCCACCTGAGTCCAGTTATTTTGGCTAACCGTGTTGATCTGTTTTGGAGATTTTGAACATCACTTTCAACTGTTGGAAATGACATCTCTCTTCTTTTGTGTAGGGTGATATTCAATCAGAACATTTTCCAACCCGTGAACTAACCAATTATAACATGAACCAGCTAATCACTGGTGTACAATAGTATACAAATAATTGTGATATTGTTGCATGAAGGGGGTGGTATTAATGTATACTTGAATGGTGGATTTATACAAAAAAGTATCCTGTTGATATAACAACCTTTTCAATATAACTATCAATACCTGGACAAATGAAGATTCTAATCGTTGCTGTATAAAACCACTTTTTCTATACATATATATATATATACTACATATATATATATATACACTATATATATATATTTATACACTATATATATATATACACTATATATATATTTACATATGTACAATACTCTTCATCTCTGCATAGGAAGCATAGAGAAAAAACTAGGGTCTAAATGTATTTTATAATCCCTATTAACATCACAATCCACTAACAATAATATATATATATGTATATATATATACATATATATATATATATATGTATGGTCAACCTTTGGTAGGCCACAAAAAAAAGGTAATTTGTTGCTGGTTGGCTGGTTATTTTCCATAGCAAAAAAAAAAGAACAACAGGATAAACCTACCCATCCAAGGTGTGTATGTATATATATATATATAAAATCTCGACAATAATTACAGTTGTGGCCCAACTAACACTTCGAAATGGGATGAAATAACTCCTATAACCAAGGTTATGTAAGTATACCCATGAAAAAAACGCTTCGTTGGGCCATCACGGCAGGTCTCCGCAGCAGGTCTCCGCAGCAGGTCTCCGGACGCAGCGCCGGAGCACCAGCCGTTTGGGCCGTGTGGGCCCCGACACCACCTGGATCAACCCCGCGCGCGGAGCGTTTTGGGCGCGCCCTGGTGGTTTCCCCTTCTCAGAGAGGGAGGGGATCGCCGAAAAATTCGGATGTAACCCACGAAAAATCTCCAAATTCATGGGATTTTACTGATTTAAGCTACAAAAAAAAATCACATGATTTTTCGGACATGATTTCAACTTAAGAAAACTTAGAATTTAACCCCCAATTATTGGAGCATAACACAAGCTGGACTCAATTCTCAGTTGTGGAAGATAGGGGGAAGGCATCAAAAACGGCAAAGCCATGACCTGGTTAAAAACAATGCAAGACCTAATCTTTTGGTAACTTTTGTTTCTGTTTTATACGCCAACTTCTCTTGGATTATTTGCTCTCTGGTTGGTGCTTTCGCAGCAGCACTAAAATATGAAGGAATCATCTTCTCAAATAGGATTGAAAATGAAAGTCTACTGCAACATCCCAACTACATCGCCCCAAGAATTTCAAATGCTGGATTTGATATGATATATAAGGGATGTGTGTTGGCTAAAAGGTGTTGAACGGATGGTTCAAAACCTATTATGCCATATTTTGGGAAATGAACATCCATAAGTACCAGCAGTGTTCGTTTATAAACCCGGGCATAAGAGTCTTGCACGATAAATATAACTTTAAAGATAGTATATTAGTACAATATGCAGAGTATAGTATAATATAGTATAGTACTTGTTTGGGGTCCACACAAATCAGGACGCAACACTATCCCATTTCGCAAGAGCCTCTATATACATCTATATACATCAAACTGGAATGTTCCGACATATCCCCATGAAAAACATCCACATACAAGTTTATTTCATACCCCATTTTTGTTGGTTGCAAAAATGACCTTGAATTTCCGTTCTCAATTGGTTTAAAAAATGTTGTCTTTTCTTTATGACATCCCAATTTTGCTTGGTGAAATCATAATAATATTGAACTATCAGGAACTTCTCATGTTTGTTGTTTAAATCCTATTAAAATCATGATAAAAACCCTTGTGCATCAGCCTTTTTGTTGGTGACATATCATAAACATCCCAACATGTCATGCTTTCATAACCGACAAAAAATCCCCATTTTTGGTAAAACCTCATTGGAATCCCCATGAAATTCGAGTATGTTTTTCTTTCTTCATCGACTGCCATCGACCTGCAGGAAGGGCTGTGCAAGGCGAGAATCCAACTCCTGCAGAGGTGATGGAATTCAGGTGGGTTTTTCTTGTAGCTTTCAGGTGATTTCCAGTCGGGAAAATGGATGAACATGGTGGATTTGCCATCAAAAAAAAGGGATTTTTTATGGGGAACAGAGGCAGAAATTCCAACAGCTGCTGTTCGCAAAGACCCAACTTTCAAGAAGTATACGAAACATTGACCGTCTTCCGATGGGTAGCGGACTGGCTGGACTTTCCAACAGGAACCTGTCACCTCAGCCAACATCACCCCTCTCCTCCACATCGATCAAACACAGGCGCTGAGATGTCTTTGAAATCAACTCCTGGCCGTGGCGCGACCGGGTCTTAATGGGTTTTGAAGGACAATTCTATAGAAAGACGTGGATCTCTCAGCCGCATATGGAGGTTCTTGTATTCTTCCCTTAGATATTAGAAGAAAACATGATGGTTTCGTGTATTTTTGCCGTAGATTCTACGGGAAAACATAGATTTGTGAGTCAACTATGGGGAGGTAACAACTTCCCGTCATTTCCCTTGAAACCAGGTCTGGGAGTGTGCAAACCTACAATTTTAATCATGTTGAGACCATCCCTGGATGTTGGTTGAGCATGGTTAACCCATCCTATATACTCAGAATATGAATTCCTGCTTGGATCTTCCCAAGCAGGCATTGCAGCAATGCATAAAACTACATGTATCTAGTTATCTAATCACCCATAGGATCCATGGTGCTGCTATATATGAGCGATTGTGAAAACCCTAGGTTCACGGAAAGGACATCCACAAATTTGGGAAGGTCCCATCGCTTACCACACGTTTGTAAAATAATGATATATGGTAAACTTGGGGGGTATCGCTTGCAGGAAACTGCTGCATATATATATATATATGTGATGAACTATGAATAATATGTGATATTTGGGTATCGCTAATGTGGATATTAGAGAAATATGATGACATAACCTTGAAAAGGGGTATCGCTAATTTGGAAGGTCCCATCGCTTACCTCGTGTTTTTAACAATTTCCATCAATTTCCATAAACCAATGTCCGTCGAATACATATTTAGTATTGCCGGGGTTTTTACGGTTGCTCATATGGTAACATGGACCCCATCAATATACCCCAGTCATGTTAGCATATATACCAGCACCATGGATCCTATGGGATCATATTTAACCTGTGTAAATCTATTTAAATCTATTGTCAATCCCCATTTTTTGGATCCCTGGGCAGTTTAATTCGTGGAGGCAGCATGTTTGTAGAAAACTTCATTACCCTCCGGTAGTCAAACGTGGCAATGGGAAATCCTCTACACTCTACACAGTTGTAGTTATAGCATTTAACAGATGTAACCGGCTACATAACCTGAGTTGCATAAGTTATTTCATCCCATTTCCAACTGTTAGTTGGGCCATGACTGTATAAATCGATGTTCCAGCTAGCCGCTGTTTGACTGGAGCCCCATTCGTCTGTGGCTTCGCACCCGGATCCATTGGACGCCAGGAAGAGTTAAGCTGTCAGGTAGAGCACCTGGAAGGCAGGGGACTGCAGGGGGCTGTGGGGTGCCCTGGCTTGGTACTGTGGATGGGCCAGCGAAATCCTGCACCACCTGAGATGGTTGAAAGATGTTGAAAGCCTATAAACAATGGGATGTTTACCACTTATCAACTGGTGCAGGATTTCGCGACCATCCACCGTAGTTCAAGAGGATTTCACGGGATTTGACGACAAATGATGATTCCATGGGGTTGATATACCCTCTGGTAAACTAACACATATAGCTATTGAAAATTGCCATAGAAGTAGTGGATTTACCCATTAAAAATGGTGATTTTCCATAGTTTTTTGTAGTTTACCAGAGGGTAAATTGATTACCCTCTTGTAATTTACAATTTTATATAGATGGCCCTTGAGTTTGATGATTGACCTAATTGACCTATTGAAAATGATGACTTTCCATAGCTATCTTAAAATTACCAGAGAGTACTTCTAGGAATTTCCAAGCCTGGAACAACTGCATCACACTAATGATCCGATCATCTGGAAAGCCACATGTTTAGCAAAGTGGAACCATGTGCGAAATGGGTTGGAAAAAATGAACTATCCCATAGCCATCGTGATTTGGTTTCCCGCTTATTGTTGGGAGACAGGATACCGCAGAATGGCACTTTGGTTGGAGAAAATGATGATGAACTGCTGGTTCTGCGGTGTTTATTATTGGAGACCGCAATGTTGGAACTTCTTCAAGTTGAGAAGTAAGGCCAAACCCCAAAAATATTCGTAGTGAATTATGCTTCATCAATCTTCATCATCCCACAGGAAAGAGCTCTTCGGTTGCAAGTTGGCTTTTTGCCCCATCTACCGACAGTGATATATCCATGAATAAATATATCGGACATATATCCAGACATTTTGTCTCATATATGTTCTGACGTTCCATCTCACATATGCTCAAACATTTTATCTGGTATTTCATCAGGCGCAGTATCTAGCATAATGTTTGGCATTCTGTCTGACATGTCTACTGGGTTCAGATAGTTTTCTTTTTGCTCAGGTTTTGGATATTCTTTTGGTTTTCTTTCCTGGTACCATTTGCCTTATATTTGCAACAGTTTGGAACTAGAATCTGTCATTGTGCATGGTATTTGCTACATTTTGGCATGGTTGCTTTGCATTTTGCATGGCATTTGCTACATTTGGCCATGTACACCTTCCATGTTGCATGGTATTTGCCACGTTTTGGCACTTCAACCTCTCATTTGCATGGTATTTGCTACACGTTGGTACTTCAAACGTTCATGTGGATTTCTCGAGACTTTCTTTAAGCTTTCATTTAGGGTTCATTTATATAGGGTTTCATTTAGGGGTTTTTATTTAGGGTTTCATTAGGATTTCATTTAGGCTTTCACTTAAGGTTTCTTTAGGTTTAGGGTTTCTTTAGAGTTTCATGTAGGGTTTCATTTAGGGTGTCATTTAAAGTTTTTTTTAAAAAAATCAGGATTTCCAAACGTTCATGTGGATTTCTTTTGGGTTTCATTTAGGGTTTCATTTAGGGCGTCTTTAGGATTTCATTGAGGATTTCATTTAGGGTGTCATTTAAGGGCTTCTTATCAGGGTTTCCAAACGTTCATGTGGATTCCTTTTGGGTTTCATTTAGGGTGTCAGTTCGGGCTTCTTTAGGATTTCATTTAGGGTTTCATTTAGGGTGTCATTTAAGGGTTTCTTATCAGGGTTTCCAATCGTTCATGTGGATTTCTTTTGGGTTTCATTTGGGGCTTCTTTAGGGTTTCATTTAGGGTTTCATTTAGGGCTTCTGTAGGATTTCATTTAGGGTTTCATTTAGGGTTTCTTCAGGGTTTCATCTAGGGTACTTTAGGGTTTCTTTAGGGTTTCTCTGGGTTTCACCTAGGGTCTTTAGGGTTTCATTTAGGATACAAAACAGGAGAGAATAAAGCAAAAGAAAAAACAAAGATGCAGTAAAGACAGGAAGCAGAGAAGCAAAGGAGCAGGAAGTAGAGCAGCAAAAACACATGACTGAAGAAGAGAACAAGTAGAATAGTAGAAGTAGAAAGGCGCAGAAGCAGAAAAGCAGAAAAGCAGACGCAGAAAAGAAAAGAAGCAAGTCGAGCAAAGAAACATGAAAAGCAGGAAAAACAAAAAGCAAGAAAAACAAAAAGCAGAGAAGCAGAAGCAAAAAAGCGGAGAAGTAGACAAGCAGAGAAGCAGGAAAAGCAGAAAAGCAGAGAAACAAAGAAGCAAAGAAGCAGAACAACAGAAAAAACATAGAACCAGGATCCCGAAAAAAACCAAAACCTGCCGCAAAAAAAAAGCTATCCTTTTGAGGCATTTTGTCTCATATATGTTCTGACGTTCCATCTCACATATGCTCAAACATTTTTTCTGGTATTTCATCTGACGCTGTGTCTAGCATAATGTAACACGCCAGCAGTCAAAATCACTGGTGTTGACGTCAGGTCTTGGCCCTCTTCGCACCCCATGCTAAAGCTGCATCGGAAACGTCGAATCAAACGTTGGCTGCTTTGGGGTTCCCTCAAGAACCCCCTGATACATTCGGCATGGACAATGACTCCTCTTGGATGCCCATCAAAAACCAATGATGCCGACATCGCAGTGAGGTCTGCGAAAAAACCAAGGGTCAAAAACAGAATTGGGACGGACATGTGGAGCTTGACCACAAAACAATTATTTAAAAAAATCAGGAACAATGTGGGGATTTGTTTGAACCAAAATTGAAAGTTTATCTACGAGAATCGTTTCCAACAATGGGGTAGGCCAAATATGAAGAACTTTAATGTCAAACAACATGGGAGTTTAGCTAAGTATTATAAAACCGATGCCTGTATAGCACCACCAAGCCATTCATGCACATTGGGATCTAGGTCAGAACCATCAACCCAAGAAAAACAAGCCGAATCCAAAAACTGATTCATATGAGCCATGAAAAATACCACCTTTCCATCCCATTAGCCTGCTTGGTGCTGTTCGCTATTCCTACAAAAAAATACTATATAAACAATCTTTGTTTAACCAGGGGGTAGACCCTCTTGTATTTTCCCATAGCTTTGGACAATGACCCGTAGAAATAGTTGATTTACCATGATGTACCTATTAAAGATGGTGATTTTCCATGGCTATGTTAGATTCCCAGAGGGTTTTCCGCCCTTATTTCAAAAATTCATCGCCCAACCCTTCAACCAGTTGGGTAGGACGACCCCCTTGCTGCGGCAGCAGGCCTTTGCTCGAGTGTACCGCCTAAGGGGGGTTGGTCGGAACAGTGAACCCCAGGATATGTATCACTGTGGGTAAAACAATAATAAAGCACCCCATTTGGGAATGGTTTATACCAACTCTGGTTGGTGGTTGATCCAATTGGCATATCATTTTGGCGCAAACAGTAATGTTCAGTCATTATGTCTAGTTGAATATGTCTTACTCTAGGGTAGGGCCTTGTTTTCACTAAGGATGAGGTTTCCCGTGATACGAATGCTATGTCCTTAGCCAATCAGCATGAGAAATGGCCAACAATTTCCGGGACGGCTAACAACATGAGGATAGCACGATTTCCGTCGCAATATCCATTGGGGATCATAGTCACCCCCAATTTACCCTCTGGTTATGTCAAAATAGCTTTTGAAAATGGCCATAGAAATAGTGGATTTACGCAGCTATAAAATGGTGATTTTCCATTGTCCATAGTTATGTAAACGTTTACCAGAGGGTACTGGATCCGCAAAAACACGCGGATAGCTATGAAGCCCATTTCATGTCGTTCATCGTTTCTAGTCAACATGTTCGCTGATTCCTCCCACAGATCAGCCCCGATTGTTGACGTTCCTATTTTCTCATGGGTAAATTCCGATTTTCCGGGTGGCATCCAGAATGTTTTTTCTTGGTCAATACTATCATTGTGTATACACAATATATACGGTATAAATCCCCTTCGATGGTGAAGCCTCCAAATTCCTATATTGGTGGCTCATTCCACTTAGTCAGTGGGTTGTAACCCTAGTTATAAGTGGATTAACCCTACTTATCCCACTTTATAACCAGGGATATAACCTACTTGGTAAGTGGAATGAGCCACCAAGTATCCTTGTCATGTCGAAAAAAACTTTCGACCGACGAACATCTCCTGAGCCTTCGAACTTTGGGCCAGTTGAACTCTGATTCAGTATCAATGCCTGTGGCAGCACAGGATACCCTCTGGTAAACATACAAAAAACATCAAAAAACTATGGAAAATCATCATTTTTAATGGGAAAACTCACTATCAATGGCCATGTTCAATAGCTATGTTAGTTTACCAGAGGGTAAACTCAGGGGGCGACTTCCAGTGGTCAAACCATTCTATCGTGGGATTTAAATGGGATTAAGATAGGACTTGAATGGCTTTTGTTAGTCGGATTTCAATAGGATTGAATGGGATCTTCATGGCAGTTAATAGGATTTCAATGTGATTTCAATGGGATTTGTCTGATTTAACCAAAACACATGGTGATTTGATGGGATCTTGTCAAGGTATACCGCCCCCTCAGCGAACAGTGGTTGAAACAAGTTGAAACAAGTAGCTTAAGTTGGGCTTTTCACCCGAAACTCATAAGCACCACCTTAGATATGCCTGCATTGCCAATCTTAGATACCCTGCAAAAAAATGACAAATTCTTTGCTGGTGAACGTAGATATTCCCATTGATACCAAAAGACTAAAGGATTAAAGTATCCATCTAAGATTGACCTAGCCTGTGACTGTCTCTTTCTACCCATCTATATCTGGTTGGTGGTTTCAATCCCTCTGAAAAATATGAAAGTCAGTTGGGATGATTATTTCCAATATATGGGAAAATAAAAAATGTTCCAAACCACAAACCAGATATTAATCTATATATATCTATGTTTGTCTGAAAGTATATACGTCTTTCTGTCCCATCCACCCATACATATTTACATTTCTATATCTAATCAATCTTCCCAAACATCTGTCTGCATGGGTATGCTCTGAAATTCTGTGTAAAACGCTGACTGAATTGGTATACTTCAAACCCAACTGATGGTAAGAAGTGGGAGAAGTTCGAATGGCCCATTTGTATAGATCATTTGCCTATCTAAAATAGCGATTTTCCATAGCTTTATCGAATTACCAGAGGGCATCTGAAGTGATAGTTTCACTAAAAACAAAGTGATCTTTGAGCAGAAACTGTACGACTGTAAGCAAGTTCTTGCTGGTTGATTTTTGCCACCAGAAACTATCATCCGCATCATCCGCACGGACATTCAGACCCAGGACCGTGTGGTAACTTACACTATTGGATGACAAAATCTCCGTTTTAGTCTCAAATAAACCCAACAACAAATACCATCCATATTTGCTTCATCAAACAACTCTTGCTTATTCTTGACTCTTGAATACCCTTGACACTTTTCAAATGTCAATGTTGATCAAATTATCAAGCCGCTAAAAGCGGCCGCCTGCTCGCACATAGAGCCGTCGCAAGCAGGGCAGGCTGGGAACCTGAAGATCTGACAACCTGGTCCAGTGGAGCCGGAGGTCTGGAAACTGAAAAGAACTACAAGGTGGTGCCCCATAGTTAGCTAAGTTGGTTTATAATTCCAATAACTATGGTTTATGGTAGATATAACGAACTAGTTAATGGGGTGAATCTAAACCAACTTATAACTATGGGGCACCACCTTGTACCTCTGGTAAACATACAAAAAGCTATGGAAAATGGCCATTGAAATAGTGAGTTTTCCCATTAATAGCATGGTGGATCTTTCCATAGTTATGTTGCTGTTTACCAGAGGGTACCCTCTGGTAAATTAAGATAGGCCCTGAAAATAACCTAGTTTTAATGGAAACTAATTTTCCAATCATGATACCAATTATCAATCATTACCTGGTTGGTGGTTGACCTACCCCTCTGAAAAACAAGTCAATGGGAAGGATTATCTCATATATTATGGAACATAAAAAATGTTTGAAACCACCAACCAGCTATTTAATCATCAGAATTCATAGGGAATTCATAGGGGAATCTATGGAGGTTTCCATAAATGGGGTACCCTCTGGTAATTTGTTACACAGCTGAGCTATTGAACATGACCATAGAAACAGTTGATTTACCCATGAAACATGGTGATTTTCCGTAATTGTGTTAGTTTGCCAGAGGGTAGTCATCAGAAACACATAGACATATACCCCACAACCCAATCTATCTAACTTTATATAGGAATATGCAATGAAATACATTGAAATACAGGAATATGTTCACCCCAGTTTGAAATTTGCTTAAAAAAAACCCATCTGGTTTTCTCGATATGGTTCTGCCATGACCCTTGTTACGTGAACCGTCGTGAACCAAATGACCAAATGGCTTCTCCATGGCTGAAGAAAGCAACATGCAGGTCCAGTGGCACTTGCCCAAACCATAGGAAAATGGTGGTTTAATGGTGGTTTAATGGTGGTTTAATGGTGGTTTAACCAACAAAATGGTGGTTTTAATGGGATTTACCCTCTGGTAATGACTAACATGGCTATTGAATACGGTCCATTTACAGTTGATTTATATACCCATAAAACATCTAGTGCTTTTCCATAGTTTTTTGTATGTTTAAAAAAGGGTAAACCTTCCAACCCATCAGCCCATCAGCCCGAATTGGTTGACCGGAAATCTACAGAAAACTGAGGTCCTGAGGTCCTCAGCGGAGAAAACATACCCTCTGGTAAACTAACATAACTATGGAAAATCACCATTTTTGATGGGAAAATCCACTATAAATGACCATTTTCAATAGCTATTTTGACATAACCAGAGGGTACCCTGATTTAGCTGAGAAACAGAATGCCCAAGCCCTTTGGCAACAGCAACGTCTCCAGGGTAGGAAGGGAGAACCTTCGCCGTTGAACGCGAACGCGAAGGAAAAAAATAACGAATCCTGGGGATTTCAATATCTAATGATATTAAGATATAACTATATACAGTAATAAATATTTCCTTATATTTAATGATATAATCATGTTTGTTTGTTTTGTTATGTTTGATATGTAATGATACTGATGTATTTATGGATATATCCGAAACATCTATGAGGGGGTTCACATGTCTTAACCATCAAACTAGGAATAATCTTTATAAATAAATACGAAATATAATCTATCTATATATAATATTATATATCTATATATACATATGGTCATATACAAATGAGTTGGTTCATAGCTAGGCCAACGAGTGGATCTACAGCTGTTTTAACGTGCACAGAAACCGATGTATTACTGAGATGCTTGTGAACGCAACATCAAGTCATGCCTAAGTCATGCCGGTCTTCCCCCATTGTGAACGCAAGTATCAAAATAGCCCTTTCCAAATCGTAACCTTTCATTTCCGCTTTTCTTTTTCCTCCCTGCGCTTGCGATTCACTATTGTTTCATCTTCTTTGCCTTCGCGAAACAGGTTTATCTGTATGGGGTTCTTAGTAAGAATTCTGTAAATAGATCCTGGGTAGCCATGACCCCCCCACACAGAAAGAGGCCAAAGCAGTTTGCAAGTTCTTGCTCCTTTAAAGGGTTACATTCCTGGGCCGCATGATTTTGCTTCTGTCTCCGGGCTTGCATTCCTGGTATGCTCTCCCACTAGGGTCTGGGTGCTCTGGGTGCTCTGGGCCGCCTGGTTATACAATGTTATACACTTGTCTCCCACTTGTCTCATACTCACCTGCATGGCCAGGAAATCTAAGCCTGGAAAAACAAGATCAAGAACGAGATGCAAACGAGATCCGAGCCCTGGCAGTGTTTTTTTTGCCCGGCTGGGTTCGGCAGCATCTTCTGGGTTGGAGGAAAGCAGTGTTCCAAAGCCGCAACGTCATTCCACTATACTTGGTTGTCAATAGGGATTCCAAAAATTTGATTCTGACAATCCAGAATATAGTGCGTACTATCATCAACCAGCAGGAGTTTTGAACAGTGTTCATGTGAGGTCACTATAACTTGCCAGTCTATAGACTAATTAGTGATATATACATAATATACATACTTACACAATAGATAGATATATATATACTATACATAATATAATATTACATCTCTATATATATATATATTCATGTATAATATATATATATGCTGTATATATATATTGGAATATCCCAAGTTCTTCCGTGGCTCACATCACTAACGATTAAGTTGGTTAAAATCCCAGCCACTCAGGAATCGTGGGGAGCCGGGCTTGAGCCACGACCTGAAGGAAAAAAAAAGAGTTGCGATTTGTTGGGATTATTTTATATTATCATACCATGTCTACTGAGATGGGCCATGGGATTAGCGATTCCTGGTATATAAACCTACTATATCCTAAGTATAAACCATTTATACACTAGTTAAGTAAGTCCATGGCCCATCTAAGTAGGGTTGAGCATACAAACATAACTGCAACATACTGCAACCACCAGCCAGATCCAACCACAACATTTTCGGTATTCTGGAATCCACTTCTGACCCCGCTGTGGCTGGGTTACTGCAACTCCCCATCCTCATTGGCCAACTGCCTCATCAAAACTGGATTGTTTGTCCCTATCTTTTTGCTCCAAAATCCATCATGTATCATGTGCATAATTTGTCTATATATATATATATGTACATAAGTATCATGTATTACTTGTGTATGCAATTGTATATTATATAAATTATAAGTAAATATATTTCTGTTGGCTAGAAACATCTTAAAACCCCAGCGTCATGACCAGTTTCTGCCCCCTTTCCCCCCTTTCCCCCTGCACCTCGTCTCAAGGACTTGTAACGTGCCAACCTTGGCATTGCTTATCCCATTTTGCACCGAGGGTCGAAATGATCTCACAGTGACCTTATACAGGATTACGTGCATATTTGATACACATATGTATATGTAAATATATAACACATATAATGTATATATAATATATATAATTATATTTAAATATTTGGAATATTTTGGAATGATAAAAACATGTTCATACACCATTGCCGCCCATCTGAAGTTGCTTTGCATGGTGCCATGCTTCACGGTGCCAATGCTGTACCACCAGCTCCGCCGGCCAGGTAGCGATATGGGCTACACCAGTCCAATACCAAAAGCACAGAGGTGCCATCCATCAGCCAACCAGGTAACCCAGGTAACCAGGTAACTGACATTTGTGTCTCCTTACCCTCTATGACGTTTACATAGCCATGGTTTGTTGGTGGCCCTAATCGAAATAGATGGTTTACCGAACTTAAAAATGGTGATTTTCCATGGCGAACTGTTAAATAACCAGAGGGTAACTCTACATTTACCGAAAACATACTTGAGTATGAGTCGAACCTGATGTCCCAAGGGTCAAAGGGATCCCCAGGGTTCAATTGAAAAAAAGAGACGGCCGTGGCTACCGGGAAAATCAGCTTCCAAACTCAAAACAGTGACACGTTCTTGTGGGGAAGGGCCCCTGTATTTACAGCTGTTTATCAACATTGCTGGGGACTTTGTAACATTTCCATCTAAAAAACATCCAGAGACTGGCCTTTCTGGGTGCAGCCATCTGAATCAGCCGGATTGGTCTGGGACGTCTTTGAGTCCCTAGCTTGCCGCCGCAATGTGGAGTTGATCGTGCTCATAACTTGGCGAGATTCCTAAACACTATATAAATATGGGACATGTTGATTCCCAAAAAGACATGTCGAATGTATATATAGACATATACTTTAGGGCCTTTAGGGTTTGTCCAAGAAAAGGCTACTTCAAAAATACATCAGATATCATCAGACCTAAAAAAAGAATTGTCTATCATCATTTTGCCTCCAATCATTTGCAAATCCATATCAATACTCCAACTGGCTCCCCATTTTTGATTGGGGGAATATGCTGTGAACAGCTCCCTACGTTCAGCACTGGATGGAAATACAATTAAGTTGATTACTCTCTGGTAAACTAACATAGCTATTGAACATGGCCATAGAAATAGTGGATTTACCCATGAAAAATGGTGGATCTCAAAATTCACCGCTTTTCTGGTTAAACAATGGTTCATGGTCGAGTCCACCCTTTTCTCAATCAAACCACCATTTTCCAGCATGTTTGTTGCTAAAAGTAACCACTCCCCGACGAAAAAACAAAAACCTACGTGACCCTGTGGTTCATTGACATAAATATGGAAGATCCAAGATTTTTGTTGATTAAATCCACCAAACATAACCATTAAATCCAAAATTTTATGCTTACACCGTTACACCCATATACTTTAACATGAAACCCCCATTTGTTTTGATGAATCCATGTTTTTTTCCACGTTTAAATCCCTATTTTTGCGGGCTAAATCCCTTGAATTCCCCATATTTTTGTCCGTTTTCCGGACTGATTTCTCCAACCTTCAGCCAAGTTGCCGAGTTCATCCACATGACTTTGGTGGAGCCCAGGGACAACTGGAAAAATCGGAAGCTCGGGGCCGAAACTTTGGGGATCATTCAACGAACAATGGAACCATATACGGGTGTATATATATATATAATGTAGATATAGAATGATATAGATATGTTTCTGTATATACATATTATGCATATTGTATAATATTTGTATCAATTATATCATATATGAACATCTATTGATACTAAATATCAATGCAAAAAAAGGGTTTCACACCATCTTAGAAATGAATAGAACCCACATCATTTATTCAATGGTTGATATGCTTGAAAGACTAATTACTGTATTGCTCCGCCTAGATTGATCGACTTGGGGCCCGCATCCCCCAAGGTTCATCGTAAATCGACCTTATCCTTCCAACAATGTGATCTTAAATACACGGTGAAAAAGTAATTTTGGAATTCAGGAACTAACACAATTCCATTTTGCCATTTGGAAAAAACACACCAATAATAGTTGAACATGAGTTTTTGGTATCATGGTTTGGTATCATGAGTCATTGGTATCATTGGTTCCACTTTTCCCATTGTTCAACATGACTAACCACAATTAACCACATGACACATTTCAAGAAACTTCCCATATTTCTACAATGTGAGGCCCCCAAGATAGCTAAGTTGGTTTATAACTCCAATAACTATGGTTTATGGTACTTATAACTATAGTTACTGGGGCTTATAAACCAACTTATAGCTGTGGGGCACCACATTCTACCGTTCACGTTGATGCCGCCTGTGTAAAGAACAACGGCATGTCGTCGCGATGCTCGGGGACCATGTCCAAGCATGGCATCAGCAGCAGGTCGCCATCTGCGCCGGGAAGAAATTCGGCGTTGCGAAGATAAGTCACTTTCTCTCGGGAAATTATAGCTGTATAATGAATGAAATATATGGCAATTTATAGCAATATGGCAAATCCCATTGATAGTTCATTGAAACCAGGCGTGCTGAAAAATCCACGGATTTTTCATCGCACATGATTGTCCCATTAAAACATATTATTAAAACTGAAGCCAGCCCTCCATTTATAGATTAGATCCAACTGACACGTTTGAGAACACCCTATAGGACCATTGAACTCTGATGGGGGATACCCCCATAGCGGGATGGTCGGAAAATCACTCTCGAACTATTGATGGATGATTTAAGGGGCTACCCCTATGTTAGGAAACCAAAAAATAGCTGGATATAGATGAAGATAGAAACAACAGAGTCTGACATAGGTGGCGCTTAAGGTTAGGATGACCACAAAGTATCAACAGACTTAGAACTCCGGATATAGCCAACAATCGAACATCCAATACGTTGTGTATGGTGTTGATATTGGTTTCTCTGCTCTGCACATGGACTATGAAATCGATGTACCCACGTTCTTGGCCAACAACAGACATCCACATCTGGTCAAAAAAGTGACTTAGAATCCACAATAAGCCAGGTGATAACCCATTCATTCATACTCAACCATCAACCAAAGAATCTAAAGATCAGAAAATCATGTGTCAACATTAATTCCCCACTTTTGATGGTTAAAACTTAAAACTCTCAAGTTTCATGCTGGTTAAATCGTGGTTGAAAAACCCCAGGTCGGGCGCCCGGGAGCCCCACCTTGGCATGCGCGACACACAGCTGGATTCACAGTGCGAAAGGCAAAGGTGTCTCTGGTGTTTAGGTACTGCAGCACCTGGCGGAGTCAGGTGGTGAAGAAATCCATAACTTGATGGGGACCCCAGTTGATAGCGTTCAGTTGACATATCAGTGGCTGAAAAAACTATGGTTTATGGATGTTTATGGTAGATATAACCATAGATAACTCTGTATATATATACATATATATATACCATCTTGTTATTTAACATAGCCATGGAAAATTGTCATTTTTAATAGGTAAACCATCTATTTCTATGGGCCATTTCCCATGGCTATGTTAAATAACCAGAGGGTAACATCTGTGGTCCCCTGCGTCTTGATTTTTTTGACGCATTCCCACAATAATACGCTGGGATATAAACCATACAACAAACTAGTTGCCTCCAGGCTTAACTTAAGCGGTTCATAATCCATATAGTTTGGGAATATAAACCATATATAGCTACCAGTAGACATATTTTATGATTATGAGCCACTTCCAATCCATCGGATACATCCCCACATGTGTTGGTTGCCGCCCTAAGGCTATCATCTGCGTTGCCGGGGGGTCATCAGCCACAGGCGTTGATTGTTTTTCAACAATGATCTACAAGTGTTGGAATGTCCACATCTATATTAGTTTAATAAAGGGTGCATACATGGACATGTACCTATGTGTATATGTATATTTTGAAAATATATTTCTATGTATACGTATATATATATATATATGTATATATATATAATTATACATCCCCAACATGGGAAACCGTATCAATGGCTTCTGCGAGGCCAGGCTTAGCCCAGGCTAGCGCCGCTGGACCTGCTGGACCTGCTGAACCTGATCAAGTATAGGACATCAAGTCCTCCAAATCTGGCAGTGTATAATTTTATTTATTAATATATATATATATATATAACACTATTTATTAGAACGCTATATAGGTTATGTATATATATATATATGTATTAATAGTTAGATATATTTATGGCAAATAAATGCAAATAAGACACAAAGCACTACTGTGACCTTTCACCAAGGATTACCCCTATTTGTACTCTGCATTATCTATTGGTTTGAAGGTGAATTCTGGCTAATTTTAAGTGAATCACCACTTTCCTTGTTTGACTAAACTATTGCCAATCTTAGAGACCCTGCAACGGACATGTTGTTCGGACGTTTGATTTGTGTATATAATATAGTTTTTTTTACTTATATATATTATACTTATCACGATTCCCAATGTATGGCAACATGTTGAAGTACTAAACTACGTAGGTCCACCGCTCACAGCAGACTGTGGCACGACATGACATTTCTCACATTCCAAGCGCATAGAATGTTCGCAATTCCATTGGGCAAAACAAATGCAACATCAGCAAAACTTGAAATTCGTAATTGCAGGGGTTGATTTGTCATGCGTAGTTCCCATTCTAATTTGCATTCAAGACTGCATTGCCCATCGGTGAGAACTTTGTGAATTCTTTGAACACGTAGTCAATATGGGGATTTGTTTTTTGTATTTGGGCCATAGTTTTTTTTGCGTGCTTCTTGAAATTTCATCCGCACGACCAAAGCTGCTTGTTTTCATTCTTCGTGTTTCAACATCAGTTTGCCGTCAGCAATCTTTTCAATGCTGAATAGAACTCCTTTGGAGTTGGTGCCACAGACTGTCGGAAGAGACATTACCCCTGACCCCTGACACAAACATGAAGCAACTTCCATGACAATGTGCATAGCGTAGCGTAGCGTCGTCTTCAAAACGCACCCCATCACCCCTGCCAGCGTGCTATCATCACCGAGACCTCCACTAACGCAGCATCAACTTCATAAAAACTGCAAAAAACTGCGGGCGGTGGCCCAACTACCCATCGAAAACTTACAATTTCACCAGATTTTTCGACAATTCATGTCCAATATTTATAGCTAATTGAACGCTGGAACCTCCCATATTTTCGATGGCAAAATGAGCCAAGTCCCCATGAAAAAAATGACGCCTGGGGAGCCGTCGCAGGCAGCATTGCGCGATGGCCCCAGTGCACCATGGCCAGTTGGGTGGCCTCACAGAAAGCTGGGTCATACCGGGCCCGGTCAGTTTGGCTTGGACTTTTCAAGAAACCATGGGCCATGGCCTTTACCACAAAATCTAGCTGAAAATCCAACGGTTTCCTGTAGACTTTCCCTTTAACGGCTTCAACGCTTGAGCCACTTTTTTGGAGTCTGAGGAACTTTTCTTGGGAAACGAACATGTTTTTTAGGGGCATGAGCCAGTTGTTGTTGATTTTTTCTGTCTTTGGTTCACCAAGGTTTATCAACAAATAACGCTCAACCTGAAAAGAACGCGAACGCACCAAATAGGTTTGAGAGGGTCCCCCATTCCATCTCTGTTTACCAGTCTGTATCCTTCTTCAATTAATCCCTTGAATTTGTCATCATTGAGGAAAAATAACGCGTGTTTCGTTTTTTTTTGCAATCGTAAGATTTTCATGAATCATCATGAATCATGAACGTTAAGTTAGATTCTTACCCATAGGATCCATGTATGGTATATATGCTAACATTTGGGGTATATTGATGGTAAATGTTACATAATGTTACCATATATAGCATACATGGATCCTATGGGTTATTTTGATTGGCAAAGTCTTTGCATTTTGGATGGTGGAAAAAAGCGCCTCTAAGGTTCTCTGGATGTGCTCCAGGCTGGTCTGTGCATTCACCTCCTGCCATGGTAGATAGATGATACATGGCTCCAAGAATGATAAGAATGGGTTACCCTCTGGTAATTTAACATAGCTATGGAAAATCACCATTTTTCATGGGAAACTCACGAACTAAATGGCCATTTTCAATAGCTATGTTAAATTACCAGAGGGTACAGTATACCACTCAATTCATTGTCATTTTACAGAGGAAAATCATGATGAAGTAAGGGCTTTGTACCATATTTTCAACAAATCCATGTAGGTTTTGGCTCGATAGCGCAAAATTGGTGACCCCCTAGTTTTGAATACCACCCACAAAAAGGCCCCAAAAAAGGACAGTTTCAAACGGGGTATCTACAACAATAATATCAATATTCTTGTTGGATGGATGACAATAAACTGAGTCAGAACTTGGCGGGAACAAAATTTTCGGATGAATGAACCTTGATGGATTCACTATAGGTGATTGGAAACATCATAGAAACCAATGAGGAGGATATCCCTGTTGCACATTACCCAGAGTTCGTAAGAACTTGTGGTCCCGCAACTGAGAAAGGAGAACAAGGGATTTGCTGGCGAAAATCAACCAAATGGCATCTGCTTTGCCAAATCATTGCCAATCTCAACCTCAGATACCCCTGCAAGCAAAATCGGAAAAAAAAACAAATGATGTAATGATGTCCATGTCTTTTGTGTTGTTTTTTTGTGTTGTTTTTATTGTGTTGGACAAAAACAGATGTGTTTATTTCTCAATCCAAATCAAGTGATGTCCATGTCTTTTTTACCGTCCATGACTTTGCTTCGTCGACAAAGATCCTGACATTCTATGGACGGCCTCGCCGCTGGAATCCGAAGTTTGCAATGGGCTTGTGAGGACCCGAGCTGGTGCCCCAGTTACCAGTTCATTCGTTGAGAAGGTTTAGAACATTTTATAAGTACCCTCTGGTAAACAAACAGATTGCTATTGAAAATGGCCATAGAAATAGTTGATTTACCCATTAAACATGATGATTTTCCATAGTTATGTTAGTTTACCAAAGGGTAGGTTAATTCTTGGGTTTATGGAAATAACATGAAATAGGATGAAATAACTATGCTTGGATGGGTGATACACCAGGAAACGCAGTAGCTGGGCTGGGCACCAGTTTTAAGTTAGTTTATCATGGTTTGTAAACCGGATCTCATCATACTAGTAATAATGGTTTACATATAAACCAACTATATGGTTCATAACATCCAGTTCATATCATCACCTTTGAACTAACCATGCAACTGCTTTAAACAGTTTGTAGATAGGTTTTTCCCTGTGGGCTGCAATAACTTGTAATAATCCCCAATAACCAGGTAGTGTGACTCCTTACAATTCCCCATTCAACAAGGGTACCCTCTGGTAAACGTACAAAAAACTATGGAAAATCACTATTTTAATAGGTAAATCAACTATGGAAAATCACTATTTTAATAGGTAAATCAACTAACATAGCTATGGTAAATCAGTATTTTATTTTAATGGGTTTACCCGATCAACAATGGTATTTTGTTGCGGGTAGCTGATCCCTAGGGTCATCATCGCTGGTGTGTCCTCGCCCTCTCCATCGCCTGGGAAGCAAAAAAAAACATCGGATATGTGTGATGGAGTTACCCATACATCGTTATAATATGTTATATTTTAACCAATAATCAAAATGACATCTAATGGATAATATATATATATACATATATACTGGTTGGTGGTTTAAACCCCTCTGAAAATTCTGAAAATAGAAATGGAAATTAACCATCAACCATCAAATCTAGGGGTTTTATGAGGTTTTAACTATAAAACATATGGATGATATCTGGTTGGTGCTTGACCTACCCCTGAAAAATATGAGTTCGTCAGTTGGGATGATGACATTCCCCACTGAATGGGAAAATAAAATTCATGTTCCAAACCACCAACCAGTTATAACATGTTCCAAACCATCACATGGGATACTTGTAGCTATGAATGGTTGATAATGGTTGATATTGGCTGATACTGCTTGATAATTGTTGACAATGGTAAGTTATAGCCCTTCACAAGTATGACTGGCTTATCATGACAAATGACCAACCAGTTGCAGGAGTTAGAATTATCCCGTTTATAACTGTCAAGGGCCGTTGCTGTAGATCATGATATGATATGGAGACATTTTCAATACATACAATATATACTGTACTGTATATGTATATATATATATATGGGTGGTCATATGGATATACAATATATATATATATATATGGTAAAAACAATTAATAACATGGATATATACTAATATATACTATGTAGTGGTATTTAAAAAATGTCAGTCTTCTATACCCTGCACAATAAATGTAGTCGTGGACATTTCTCCCTGAAAACGATGGCTCTGTAAATACTTGTATATGACTGGGTGTCACACGCAATTTGTCTTGTTTATATTAAATTATATTATGTATATATATATATATATTATTTATATATATAGTAAACATATATTATATAACTGATATTATGATATATTATGTATATAAAAATAATGACACTGTCAATGATGTTGTCTTGGTGAAATCCAGTCTTGAAACCTCCGTGATCCCTTCGTTTAACTGTCTGGTTCAGCGGGATTCCCAAAAAAAAACGGGTGGGGCGAAGGGGTAACCCCCCGATTTCAATCCTCCAAAGCTGGTTGGTTCCCAGCTAGTGGTTGTGTATCACCAAACCAACCAATCATGTCCTTTTGGTAAAAATAGAGGAGCCGGGAGCTGGTTAATCCCATCTATCATCATAGAAACCTGTTGTTTTTCAGGGGGTTCTGAAGAAACCCCTCTATTTTCATCAACCAACCAATGGGAATTTGGGACATCTATGCATTAAACCACCATTTTCCTATGGTTTTCCTACGGTTTTCCTATGGTTAAACCAACTCAAGTCTGGGAGAATGGGTGAAGGTCTAAGATTCCGCCGGACAACGGTGCCTGCATTGGGAAGCCTGGCCAACCAGCCGGATGGAAAGCTGCGAATCTATGGTGAAGTGCGCCAAGCAACTGGGGTCAACTATGTATGGAATATTAATCACCTTCGAACAAAGGAAAAATACCAGGATGAATCGGATTTCGGATTTCATCATGGAATTCATGATCATGTTACCCTTGGATTGAAAAAAAACCCTGGTTAATTACCGGTAATTGGGGGATACGAGCAAAATTTCATGTGTACATATACATATATATATATATTATCTGCTGGGCTACTAAAATGGTACACCCTCAAATTACAGAGTCCAGGGCTTATGAATCCTTGGCTGACATTATTTTTTGCAAAGCCATCAATAGATAAACAAGATGAAGATTCATGGAAAATCACAAAAATTGGATGTCCATAGATGTCATGGTTAAACGCGTCGCACTTCCAGGGGATTCCTGCCGGCTATGCGAAAAGGCTATCCCCTCTCAAGCACGTGTCAGGGGGCCGGCTCCCCAGTCACTTGCTACATCCAATCAAGTTCTGAAGGTTTGCACAAATACTATGGAAAACATAGAAAAAACTATGGAAATCATGGGATTTTATATACAATGATTTCATGGAATTTTATAGTGATTCAATGGGATATATATACGGGATTTGCCCTCTGGTAAACGTACAAAAAGCTATGGAAAATCATCTTTTTTTATCGATAAATCAACTATTTCGACTGGGCCATTTTCTATAGCTCTGTAACACATTACCAGAGGGTACACATGGGGAGAAGATATTTTTCACATGTGGCTTAAGACATGTCTTGCCACATGTACTCTTCGGTATTATCAAACATGACGTCATGGGATATCCCCTGGAAATGGATGATTCAAATACCCTCTAGTGAACTAACATACCTATTGAAAATGGCCATAGAAATAGTGGATTTACCCATTAAAAATAGTGATTTTCCATAGCTATGTTAGTTTACCAGAGGGTACAATTCATCATAAATGGGAGATGTCCCATCGCGATTTTGATTACCGGCCGGTAGAGAAAAATGAAACTCGACGACCAGCAACTGATTCATGGATTTGAGAATTGGCCATCAGAGTGTGTGGGACATGATAAGCAATACATGGGCTATCATATGAACAGATAGTGCCAAGACTCGTAAAATAATTCACACATCTGAAATCATGCTATGTTGGGAAGGTTACCCCTAGCAACACATCAGTTACCTCAAGATGTGAGCTCGTTATAATCTATCCGTTCTATCCATCTGTGTCTCTTCCAAGCAGTTCTGGTAAGCCTCGAGATGGGAATAAAGTTGTAGTCCCAAAGGGCTACACAGGGACAGGTCTTTCTTGGTACTGATCTGACTTTTACTGGTTGGTGGCTTTAACCGTCTTGAAAAATATGAAAGTCAATGGGAAGGATTATCCCATATATTATGGAAAATGAAAAATGTTCCAAACCACCAACCAGCTTATCAAATACCCAATGGTACACAAGAAATATCCCAAGAATACCCATGGTCAATCATCGATTCCCTGCAAACATTGCTATTTTCAGCTGGTGAGTGAATCTTGCGAAGATAGTCGGTAACCCCCAGCCATATGTTGATTACCCATTCACCACAGTCACTACAAATGCATCTACCAGAACCCCTAGTTAACCTACTTATAAACCAACTTAGCTAGTTATGGAACACTACCTTAAGATGTAGCCAAACTCAATAAACGAATTCTACGGTATGGATCTTCGCCTCAGAAAGTACCCGGAAATAAAGGCTGCAGGAATTCATAGCATGACACATTTGGTTAGACGAAATCACCTCAGTACCAATAAAGGGAATCCAACAGTCTGTTGGTAGATCTACCCTCTGGTAAACGTACAAAAAGCTATGGGAAATCACCTTTTTAAAAGGTAAATCAACTATAAATAGGCCATTTTCAATAGCTATGTTAGTTTATTGGAAGGTATGTGAAAGTATTTGGATCCCACAAAACAGATCAGGGCATGTGTCAATCATTCCCGGACCCACGCCGAACCTCTGCCGAA